CAAGAAAGAAAACGTTTTTATCAACCCATTCTTTTATTTTTTTTTCTCGTACATATTGTCTATGAATTGATTATTTTATTAATAACGGTAATTGAATTATTGCAACTTATATATATATATATGTATGATTGCAATAGGAAAATATTTAACAATGGAAACATTCCATAAGCTACTTTTTTTTTTTGGTCTTTAGAAATGGCCACTCGGACGAGTATAAAAGATCGATGTCGTCTTTGTTATACACGTCTAAAAGATACATCATCTTCGCATCATAAATTATGGTGTTCACAACATAATCATCGTATATATAATATATATAAACGACGTCCTTATCGTTATCGTGATCTTATTGTTCGTTATTTATGTATTCGTTTACCTGAAAATGAAAATAATATAAATGAAAATAATTCGATAGATCATTATTCTCATGTTGTTTGTGGTACATGTGCTGCATCACTTAATAAACTTGATACAGCATTTCGAACATTTCAACAAACACAAAAAAATCTTCGTTTAAAATTTCGTAAAACATCCCAAATTGTTCATTATCAATTAGATAAACAAATACAAAATTCTTCAAAAAAATTAATTAAAGAAAATCAACAACAAAAATTATCCGAAATAAAAGAACAATCTGAAGAAGAAAAAATTATTATACCAAAACGACAATCAAAACGTAAAGGTGCACCAAAACATATTGATCAAACAATAAATAATCATATGAATACAAAAAAACAAACTGGTGGTGTACAATTAATTGTTAAAATTCCTTCACCAGATCCTAACAATCATGATGATAATGATGGTGATGATGATAATAATGAAAAACAAGAAACAAAAACTTCATTATTATTACCCACCAAGCGAACAAGTCCTCGACGAAAACAATATCAAATAATTGAAACTGAAAAACTAAATCCAAAGAAAAAATTTAAACGTTTAACAAATGATCTAGATACATCATCAACCAATGAATCATACAATTCAATAAATCTTCTTAAACCGAAGATTTTAACTGATATACCAATTAATGGTAAATCTACTCCACTTTCTTTAACAACTATATCCAATTCAACTTCTACAAACAGTCGACCATTCAACTCGGTGAAAGGCAATCATATTGAACGTATTGCTGTTTCCTTATTATCTGTACGTAATACATGAGAAAATAAATAAAAGAATTTTGTTTTTTTTTTTCAAATTCTTTAATTCATAGGGAACGGATACACTTACCGATGTTGGCAATACTAGTTTAAATCTTTCCAATGGTACCAATGATTATAATTCTAATCATAGTAAGCTTTTAAATTTTACAAATTTGTATTTCTTTTTTTTTAATCTTTCAATCAGTTTCTTTCATTTATTATAAATATAAAGGATGAGGTAAGAGTGCATGAGTTCTGAATAATGCCTTTATCTCACAGCATGTTTGCTGTGGAAAAGAAACCTATATTTTTAATTTTTTTTTTCCTCCCAACAAATATTCATTTACATATTTTATTAAGATTCAAAAAAGACACTTGGAGGACGTCCTACAAAACCATCAACATTAGAAGTAACGACAACAAATAATATACTTTCTTCAACGATTCCATCACCTTCAATTGATGAAGATGATTTATCAATAGGTGATGCAAGTAATGATAGTTCAAATACAAGTTCAAGTATAAATCGACCAAATACAAATACAATTATACCAAATGTTAATAAAAATTTACCATCATCTATATCAGCAACACCAACAGCTGAAGGTTTAACTATAACAGCTATTAATCAGACAGGTCAAAAACAAATTTTCATGGCTAAACAATTAGGTAATTTAAAAAAATACCAATGTAGTTTATGTGAAAAAATTGTTACAAATATACAAATTCATGTTCGACGACATACAAATGATAAACCATATCCATGGTACAAAAAAAAAAAAATTTTTTTTCAAAAATACAAAATATTTAACGTTTATACTTTTTATTTTATCTAGTACTTACTGTGAAAAACGTTTTACAAATTCAGGTGATCTACAAATTCATGTTCGCATTCATACAGTAAGTTAAATATAGAGTAGAACTTTGATTATATTGGCCTTTTTCTCTTATCTTGACATTTCCTAGTACTTCAGTAAATTGATTAGTTCTTCAATGTTATATCGAGTTAAATTATACGAATGATAGTTAGTTTCCATATGTTTTTCTTTTTTTTTTTTTTTCTTACTAAAATAATGTCATATACAGACATGAAATAATTAGTAAAAGTTAAATATTTATAGAGTTACTAATTAAACACTTTTCGAAGAACAAATTATTCCCATTCGATAGTTTTGTTTTCAATAAAAAAAAAATGGATTAAACTAAGGATTTGAGAGTATTCGAAAAGAAAAAAAAAAGATAATTCATTAACAATATTCATATGTGTAGTTTTTATTTATAGAAATATTTCATTATGATTAAGATAATTATCAATTTAATAATAGATAGAAGAAAAAAAAAAATGTTAAAGACATTTTTGATTAAGTTTATTACATCCTTTTTCAAAATACGTGTAGAAAAAAATAACACAGAATTCTATAAATCAACATTTATAAGGATTTAATATATGATTTTCTAATAAAAGATTATGAGTATTTCATTATCTGTAGTGTTTAATCAAATGATTAATAATTCTAATCGAAAACGAAAGTTGTGTTTTTTTTCTCTTGAAATATTCAATAAATTTTAACATTTATCTAACATAGAAGTTTTTTGATTGAAATAATAAATAAATAAAAGTATTATGAACAATTTCGTGCATTTTAGGGTGAAAAACCATATGCATGTCCATTATGTTTAAAGAGTTATCGAACGATAGGTAATTTTAATAGTCATGTTAAAACACATGATTCTGGTACACGACCACATCGTTGTGAGTTATGTAATCAAACATTTCCAATACCAAAAGATTGGTATTCTCATTTACGCTCAAGTCATCGTTCTCGAACAGCAAATACTAATACTACTACTACTAATAATAATAATATAACACCATCATCATCATCATCGACATTAAATTCAACAAATACAACAACGACAGTGACAAAACCATTATTTTCAAATTGTTTAACAAGTCAACAACAACATAATGAAATATTTATACCAAATAAAGTTAAATTAGAACCAATAAATCGTTCTCAATTAATAATTAAATCATCCAATGAAAAAAGTTCATCAAATGATGATGATTTAGAACCAGTTAATATGTCAAAAAAAGAAGATTTAAATGACATAGATGATGATGATGATGAAGAACATGATGATGAGGATGATGAAGATGATGAAGAAAATCATCATCAAACAACACATAATTTACTTACGAATGTATCATCACCTGTTCATGCTTAATTACTAGTCATAGAAAAATTCGAACAGTATTAATCAGTGAAAGGGAAAAATCAATGATTATGATGAACAGCCAAAGCAAGTCTTTCTCTTGTGATTGATGTTTTCTTTTTTTTTCTCTCTCCCTCTCTCTCTCTGTCGTGATTTATTGTAGCGCAATATATTGTGTTTTATTATTATTATTATTATTGTTGTTTGTTTTGTGAGAATGACGCAATCGTACATATATTTTTTTTTTCTTCGTCTAGGTGAATCCAAGAATGAGCTGTATTTTATTATTTGTTATTATCCAAGAATATGTATATATATATGAAACACTTCTTTTTTTAATTGTCGTCTCTTCTGGTCATTTGTTCTTTTTCTTCTTCTCTATTGTGAATGATTTTATGTTCTTAATTTTGGGGGCAGTGTATTTTTTATAATGTACGCGTATTATTCTTCCTAGTCGATGCGTACCAGTGTTAAAAGAAAAAAAAAAACAACAATTTGTTTTTTTTTTCGGAGTTATCTATGCTCGCATTTGTGTTCTTTTTCCTTAAGTTTGAGAGATAGTGAATTGGAGAATATCGTATATGTATGTTTGTTATATTTCTTTGCTGTTGCGTATATAAAAAAAAAACAAAGACGATGGATTAAATAAATATATGAAGACGTATACAAATTTAATCTATTTAGTAAATCATTTTTTTTTTTTTTGTTTTAAAAGAAGTTTTTAATAATATGAACTTATGATAATAACTATACCGATATGGAAGTAAGAAATAAAATATTAACCTTGAAAATATAATTTTACAATGTAGGATAATTATGAAATTCAATGTGACTTTTCTATATCATTTATATGTTTTTGAATTATATTGCTTGAATAAAGTAATGAAACTTAGTAATTTATTTATGAGATCAATTTTCTTTGAAATCCTAAATATATTTCGTACAAAATATTTATTAAATATTTAATCATATACTCTTTTATTTCGATAAATTATATTTATTTTTTTTTCTATTGATGAACTAACAAAAATCGTAGAATAACAAGACAATTTATGTGTAGAGTAGAGTTTTGATTTTTCTTTTCTAAAAAATATATTTGAAACAGTTTTCTAGTTAAGAAAATGAAGACATTATGATGAATCTCTTTTACTAAATTTGTCTTTTTATCTTACAATTTCTATTTGCCTTGACAAAACACATCAATTTGTAAATGTGTCTATGAGAAAAAAAAAGAAGGCCAATCGTCATGCGAAGCCTCTATCACCTCGGTGTGATTTTTTTTCAAGGTATCATTCTTTGAATTTTGCCGTATATATTTCATATGTCAATAGAAGAGTGATATGATTCTTAATCATATGTATTAATCCTTGAGATTTTGAAATAAAAAAAAAAAAGCAATTTGTTGGCAATCCATTATTTTTGTTAAGAAATTCAATAGAGAAAATCTTACTCATTTATAAATTTTAAATAGATAGAAAAAAAATCGGTACATATAAATTGAATATTTTGTACCTAAATTTGTATTCATTCTTAAAACTGATCTACATTCTATAATTGTGGTGAACATAAGGTAGATAGATAGATATCACATGTATCGCATAAGACAAGAGATTCAAAGTCATCATGATGTTACTTCCATTAAACGTCACCGTTCATATCATTATTTGACATTTCATTTGTTGATTTTTGACGGTTGGTAGATGGATATTGTGTAGTATGTTGAGGCATATGCGAGAATCCATTAAAATCAACTTTTGAACGGTCAAGATTTGTTTCACGAGACTTATGATTTTTACAATAATAATCATATAAATTATCAATTACTTCACCTACAATAATATCTTGTCCATTACGTGCTAAAAGTCGAAGTGCAAAACATCCATCTTCTTGTAAATAATCACGAACAAATTCTTTATTCAGCGCTTTTTCATCGACTTTTGATAATTGTAGACTAGTGGATTCATCATCATTGATAGTTTTATAGGCACTACGCATAGCTAATTTTCGTCGTATGTAAGCAAAACGACTATCAACACGTATAACACGTAAAAGCCAAGATATAAAATCGCCGATATTGAATGCGGCTAAGATTAAAATCCAAAACCAAAGTATAAGGAAGATTTTTTCGTTAAATAAATTAATTGGTAAAACACATTGAACTGTATAACGATGTACAATACCAACTTCACGTATATGAAAATCACATAATGTAACACGTGGAAATCGTTTTGATTCACCCCAATCAAGACCACGAACAAATTTATCAATGACTTCAAAACCAAATAAATGGTATTCGTTACCCAAAAAAGCATTTAAGAGAAATATTTGTACTACGGAATTAACAAGAAAAAGGAATTTAACGAATGTAAACAATAGAACTATGTATGCACTTAAATGACGATGACGCCAGAATGTCAGAGGATACAAAAGTTTTCGAGGAAAACGTTGCGAACGATTAGGATCACATAGCTTTGAAGACGTATAACGATTATCAATATACAAACGTATCGAATCAGCGATATAGCTGACTGTTTTCTGTCGTTCTTCCCTTGGATTATCTTGTTGTTCTTGTTTCATAGCTGCCTCAACTAATTTTTCTATATCTAAACCTGATTTATTATTTAATGCTCTCCAAAGCATGCGTGGAAAATAAAAACAAAGTGCCATAAATAGAAGAATAAATGGTGACCATTGATAATATTTAAGCATACCTAAATTTTCATTTTAAACAAAAAAAAAGAGTATTTTATAAATTAAAAATTTATAACAAATTTTCTTACGTTCATATCGAGTTGTTTCAACGTGTGGTATATCATGCTCCATAGGAACATAGTATGTATTCATTATCCAACATATATCATTAGCATATTTTTCATAACCACCCGTAAATTGAGCAGGCACCTAAGTTGATCAAACAAATTACTTAATAAAATAGAAATCAAATAACTCACCCAACATGATATAGGTGAACCAAAATATTGCTGAGTTGTAACAATAGCTGCAAATACTATAATCATTGTTACCGTATATCTATGATTAAGTCGATCAATAAATACATCATCATTACGTGCGGAATGATGTTTGCCAGCACTTAATTTTTTCGCAAAGTCCAATATATCCATAATGATATATTGTTTGATGATTTACCAAATCCAAAATAAAAAACATATTCATTAAAATTTTTTTTTTAATTTGATTGAACATAAAGAAATCAATTTTTTTTTTCGACATAAAAGCTTATTACTTACATATCCTTTAAAATGTTACTTCGGTACATATTTTTATTTCCTATCTTATCCGTGACTCGATTTATTGCTCTTTTAGTTTTATTAATCAAGGACTATTACGAGTATACTTCTTTTGTTTCTCATCATCAAGAGAAGTCAATGACATTACATTGAAACGTTCTTGAAATGTGCTTATGATCCGTTTTTCCTTTTTTTTGTCTTAAAAAAAATCCGAGGATAATCGATTTCGTTTTGCTCCTTTCGTCTTGAACTGTATACTTACGATCATCTTTTCTTCTCTTTTTTTTTCTGAAATGAAGAGAATGAAAGATGATCACATCATACACACACACATTTTTGCAATAATGATTGCATCACATTCACTTACACTTTTGTCTCTTACCTATATCTTCAATATCACATGTTTATCTTGGAATTTAGAACAAAGCACAAATATAGAATAAGGCTATACTTCATCATAAGTTCAACCTTCAGATTTCAATGCTAATATGCAAGTATTTTGTGTGACTTGTGTGTTACACATCATCTTCAATTTTGAAAACATTATATTTCTTATTCCCTGGCAACTGACTTTGAAAGATTAAAAGGCCTAGATAGAACATTTATGTTCGTTCATCACATACACATACCTTAGTAAAACGAAATGATGTAATGCATAAGAATAAATGTTAAAATAGTGCTAGTAGTCTTTTTGTTCAAGAGATAATATAGTACAAATGATTTTTATGATCTATACATGATGAGATGAATATATAAAATTCAAAGCATTAGAAAAAAAACCACAAGTAGATGGACGCATATCATATAAGCACACATAAAGCAAATAGATAAATTTTGAAAAACGAAAGAGAAGAGAAAAGTAAAGAAGAAAAGCAAATAGATTCATAGTATAACGACGAAATCTTTGCTTTCTTTTTCTCTCTTTTTTTTTCTTTTTTGTGTCATCAATCGATAAAAAGGGACAACCTTTTTTTTTTTGTGTTGTTGCATTCATAGTCGAAAGATAAAGTTGAAACATAGAATAAATTGACGATGACAAGAATACATACACATTAGCGATCAAGCGCATAATTCATTTCATAGATCCCCTTTACATGCATGCCATTCCATGAGGACGTTGAGATTAAATTTCACTTCGTTGTATTTACATATGATAAAGAAATAACCTCCTTCTTTCTTTTCATTTCCAATAAGATAGGATGCAGATAATTCATTTTTTTTTTCGGCTTTTACTCTGTTAAAAAAAAAAATCTGACCATACAAATGTTTAAATCATATTGCATCATGCAAGCACTTCACGTTATCTTTTAAAATAAAATCGATGTGCTCATTTAAATAAAAGAAACATTCAAGGAGAATATTAACATATGGAGATGAGAAGGTTGATACTTTTTAAATTTTTCTGAAATCATATCGTTTTATAAAATTTGTAGCTTGATTTTAATAGAAAATAAATATCAATTCGTTCTTTTGAAAGATCATGTTGAATATTTGATCAGACGATGACTATTGCGTACTTGAAATTTAATTATTGCAACATGGCCTATTTTGAATATACGTACATTTTAAACTTCTAGTTTTATCTATTTGTTGATAAATTTATTTGATCTTGCTTGTATCTTATCCTTTGCTACAGGATAAAATTGACTTGCAAATTTTTGTATACCTGTCCTTTTTCATGCGTTTTTTTGTATGAAATAAAAGTACGAGTTATTTTGCATATTCAAGTAGCATTCTGTTATCAACATGTTTTTCTTTGATAATTATTAATAAACCATTAAATTCTTTAAATTATAGAGCATGAAAAAAAGAAAAAAAAAATCTTAACACACATTATTTAATCAATTAACTTAAAATAGAAGAAATTATGTTAAAAAATAAAATATTAAACGTATTCATTATCTTCTTAGTTATAATTTTTACAGGAAACAAAAAGCAATCAGTTTGAGTGTTGTTCAAGGATATTAAATTCATCAAAAGCATGTTGTTTTTTTTATTGCATATAAAGTGCTTTAATGTTCGTTAGACGTTAGATTCCAAAGAGTGTGCTTTTATGTTATTTTAGACTTAAAAGATCTTGTTTTAGTTATGTAAAATAAAACTAGAGAATGTTTTAGTCAATATCGTTTTTATGACGAACCATTATTGTTAAAATATCTATTTTTTCCGTAATCGACAAACAAATGAATTGTCAAATAGTAGAAAAAGGAAAAAAAAAGAAAATAATAATTTTTTTTTTCTTGATATTTTATCATGATAAATATTTTTCAAAAAATACACAAAGGAATTGTCAAAATTGCATTTTTTTCACATTCATTTTCTATTGACGTCAATACTTGAACACGTCGGTTGTAGTTTTATTGAATACAGGTTGTCTTCAATCTTTGGAAAAATAATTTCTTTTTTTTTTTCTCATACATTCTCTTGATAGTGCCTTTCTTCTATTATTAAGACACACCCCGAAGGTGAGAAAGTGTTAGATGAAAAATAGAGAGAGAGAGAGAAAGTGTGAGGGAGACAGAAAATAAAAAACAAAAAAAAACCAATTTACTGCCATGTTGAGAAACGACATTTCTCAAAGGAGATAGAGTGTATGTTAACATAAAAGAAGTAGTCGTGAAAAATCTAATTTCAAACATTACACCTACAAGTGTTATAGAGTAAGTATCGATATGAGCGTCAAAAAAGATACAAAATCAAGTTCGCCTACAAATTCGGCTTTTGACGAAGAACCAACAGAAGGAAAAAGTAGTGGTGGACCAAGTCCGATGGGTTCAAATATTTTTATTGTTAAACCGGATGATGAAAAAAAGAACCGTTTCCATCCAGAACCATTTCGGCATGACCCAGTTACACGAAATAATATTGGCCGAACTATTCTTCGTAGTATTCGATGTAAATATTTGACTGTTTACATTTTTTTTTTGTTTTAAATATCAATTTTTATAAAATTTAGCACTTTGGGCAACACGACAAACAGAAAAAGATCTTGGAAAAAACAAAGATTTATATGTGAAAACAACATTACGAGAACTTATTATCTATTTGATTTTCATTACTATTTTATGCATAAGTAAGTACACAAAAAGTTTTTCTTTGATCGACATTCAACTTTTTATTTTAATTAAAAGAATACTATTTACTATATGATTTTCAATAAAAAATGAAGAAGAAAAATTATTTCATATAGTCATGCTATTTACTATCATTAATTGTGATATGAGACTTAGAAATTCTCACGTTGCAGACTATATCAATTGTCTGTAAATAATTGTTTTTTTTGCGAATCTATAAGCATACCATTATAGATCCGAAGTTTTAATAGGCAAGACTAACGTAGGAACATTCCCAACTGTCGGGCGCTATTCGACCTGGTATACGGTTATGACTACACCTCTGTGAGACTAAGAACAGACTAACAGAATTCGGACCTATGGCCTGTTGGTGAATAGTTATGACTGTTTTACCCAATTCTTTTGTTAGAACAGAACATTTCCAAAAATATTAAAAATGAAGACTTCGGCTCTTAAATGTTACCTATAATGAGAGTCGATAATTATTTAAAATGTTTGAAAGTTTCAAATAGAACAAACGTGTCATTCGCGATATACTCAAGTTTCAAGCGGATTTAACTATTGCATCCTTGTATGGTAAACTGTCGTTGTTTGGAAACTGAATATCTCGAGAATGACACGTGTATTCTTTTTGAAATTTTTAGAACTTTGTAATCATTATTAACTTTATCTCAGACAACATTTCATGACTAAATTCTTTATTCTGATATTTTCAGTGATGTCTAGCTACAATAAACAAATCCATTAGGATGCTCATAACTTTTCAGTAGGATGCCACGAATACGACTGGTGGCCGGGATTTTGGTAGTAAGACTTTCGCTAATAGGACATTTGTCAAGGGCAAAACTCAGGAACTGTGTGACTCGACTCTTTTTAGTTTATTTTGAGTCTCACAGAGATCTACTCGTAGCCATAATATTAGGTTGAACAGTGTCTGATAGTTGGAAATGCTCCTCATGAGTGTAGCATTCATTATTAATTGATTGTTTTAAATGTATAATAGAATCACATTATACTCCGATCATGATAAAGAATACCATTATGACAAGACGCCCATTGACAGATCAGACTTGGAGACAGACTTGTCTGATTAAATTATAGAAAAAAAAGTTTCAAAAAGAGTTCGAATATTCTCGAGATGTCGAACAACAGAACAATTGTGAACAATGTATTTATTTGAAAGTATTAAGAAATAAGACACATTCTCATTCTTTTGTTAAATATTATTTTAAATATGAATTTTTTATTTAAAGTTACATTTGGAATGACATCAACAAAAACATATTATTTTACTACGGTTTTACGTACAGTTCTTACTGAACAAAAAGTTCAAGGTGCAGGTGATCAACCAGCATTTGATGATATCGCAAGTTTTGAAGATTACTGGAATGTAAGATAGATTTCGACAACGTATTTCTAAATAAATATAGATTTTTTAGGTTATGAGTGGACCTATTCTCGATGCTTTATTTAATCAAAAATGGTATAATGGTGCAGGCTTAACAGATGATCAATATGGTTATGTTTTATTTGAAAATAAAATTCTCGGTTTACCTCGACTTCGACAACTTCGTGTAAATATTTTGATTTTCTATGAAAAAAAACTTTTATTTATTGATTCATTGTTTTAAGGTAACAAATGATTCTTGTACTGTTCATAAAAAATTTCGATCAACAATTCATGAATGTTATGCACCATACAGTAGTAGTAAAGAAGATCATAGTAGTTATGAACCACAAAATGACAATCTGACATCATCAGCGTAAGAGAAATTTTTATTATTTTTGTTTAATTTTCATCAAGTTTCTTTTTTTCTTTCAGATGGCATTATAAAACATCATCAGAACTTCATGGTTCATCAACAACTGGTTTAATATCTCGATATGATGGTGGTGGTTTTATACAAGATTTAACTTTAAATTATAATGCTGCTAAAGCAGAACTCGATAGTCTTAATGCTAATTTATGGGTTGATCGTGGTACACGTGTTGTTTTTCTTGATTTTACAGTTTATAATGCAAATATAAATTTATTTTGTCAAATTAAATTAACTGTAGAATTTCCAGCATCAGGTGGAGCTATACCATCAAAATCATTTTCAACAGTTAAATTAATTCGTGTAAGAATTATTGAAAATAAACAAAAGAAAAACAAACCAAAAGAAATATTTATCATTTTAGTATGTTTCATCAATGGATTATTTTGTATTAGCATGCGAAGTTTTATTTGTGATTTTTACGGTTTATTATACAGTTGAAGAAATTCTTGAAGTATGTTAAAAAATTAAATTTATATCTTGTTCGTTTTTTTCTTTTTTTTTTGGAAATTGAAAATTTCTTTTAATTTAGATAGCACGTTTTAAATTTGGTTATTTTAAAACAATTTGGAATATACTTGATGTAGTTATTATTTTAATTTCATATGTTTGTATTGCATTTAATATTTATCGTCAAATTAAAGTTGGACAAATTCTTGATGAATTATTAAAAGATCAAAAGACTTTTGCTGATTTTGAATTTCTTACTTATTGGCAAACACAATTTAATAATATTATTGCATTTACTGTTTTTCTTGCATGGATTAAAGTAAGCAACTATAGACATTTTACAAAATAATAATCAGTGATTTACTAGTTTTTCTTTCTACACTCAACCAGAAATCAATTCGTTCTACCATTTTGATTTAATCGAATGATCCAGATAGTATAAGTTAAACATTACTGGACGTGAACAGATTCTCACAAGCTTAGATATACTAAACCACATTCTATCAGACACCACTGAAAATGCGTCACGTTAGTAGGCACTCACGGAATCTGAATTGTGGCTCGATGTTCGACTTTGAAAGGTATCCAACCAGTTCAGATGGTGTCTGAGTGTTTGGGTAATTACCGATGTGTTTCTTGAGGTATATAGCCACTTGTGCAAGCACCCTATAGTCCGGATTCCAGTAGTTCTGAGCATTGTTGACTTTTTTTAGTATGCCTTCAGACCATCGGTTTTTCTGTCATTTGTTCCACTGTGTATGTAGACCAATAACAGCCAAGCTTAAAATCCTTTCTTTGTCATTCAATGTGTGCCTACACACTATCACATTCAACCTGACCTAGAATGCTGCACGGCTAAAGTAACAGTAGCATTAAACAAGACATATTTTCAAATGTTTGAAGAAGTTGCTATCTTTACAAATCGTTACTTTTCACACCCATATATATATGGATACGGATATCCGACCTGCGAGTTGCAGTATTCTAAACTGATCATACTAAACTTAACTATCACAAATTAAATTAGATAGATTGACTGAGACGGTATCATACTGAATTCACTCTACAAGATTACGTTACATTAGTTTAATGGATTCTATCTAGGATTTCATGAAAGACATCATTGTAAATGATCATTAACATGAGTTGATTTGTATTTAGATCTTTAAATATGTATCATTCAATAAAACGATGACACAATTATCAACAACATTATCACGATGTGCAAAAGATGTACTTGGTTTTAGTATTATGTTTATGATTGTATTTTTGGCATATGCACAATTGGGTTATTTATTATTTGGTACAATGGTTGATGATTATAAGACATTTGCAATATCAATGTAAGTTTAATAAAAATTGGAAAAAAAAAAGAAAATTATTTGATTTTCTTGAAAATTTTAGTTTTACATTATTTCGTATTATTTTGGGAGATTTTGATTTCGATGGTAAAATAGATTTTTTTCGTTATTTTCTTTTTTAATATAATTAATTCGTTTGTTTTTTTTTTCTTTTATTAAGCAATTTTGGAAGCACATCGTATTCTTGGCCCAATATTCTTTTTGACATATGTCTTTTTTGTATTTTTCGTATTATTGAATATGTTCTTGGCTATTATTAATGATACATATTCGGAAGTTAAAAGTGATATGACAACACAAAAATCTGAATTTGAATTAGGAGATTATTTTAAAAGATCTTATGAAAAAATGCTTGAACGTCTAAATGTTAAACGAGATGTAAGTTTTTATCATTTTCTACTAGATTCAAATTCTTATCTCTTTTCCTATAGCGTATTATTGATATAAAAAATGCATTAAAAAGTGCTGATCTTAATAAAGATGGAGTTATTGAAGTAAGTAAAATAGATTTAAATAGAGACGATAAAAAAAAAAAAAAGAAAAAACAATAATTTATTTTGAATTTAGTTTGATGAATGGCGTCGTGATTTAAAAGCTCGTGGTTATACAGATGTTGAAATTGAAAATGTTTTTTCACGTTATGATGTTGATGGTGATCGAGTACTTCGTGATGGTGAACAACTTCATTTTAAATCTGATCTTACTGCAATAGAAAATAATTTAAATGTGAATATTCAAAGTTTAAAAAATCAATCACAAGCTGCAAAGTAAATAAAAATATTTCAACTTTGACATAAAACATAAAATTTAATTAATTTAGACAATTCAATGCAAAAAATCAAAATACAAATGAAAATATTGATGCGAATCGTATAACATATGATGAATTTGCAATTGTAGTACGACGTATTGATCGAATGGAATATTCAATTGGAAATATTGTTTCAAAAGTAAAGATATAATGTATTTCAAGTAGAAGAAAACTTTTCTTTTCTTTTCTTTTTTTTTTTCTATTAATATAGATTGATGATGTTTTAACAAAATTGGAAGTATTAGAAAAGAGTAAAATGAAACGTCGTGATGCTTTAACAAGAATCTTAAATACTATTTCTGATGTAAATGAAGATAAATTTTGAAATATTTAAGTAAAAAAAAATTTGTATTTTTCTTTTAGGATAATCATCTGAGTAAAGAAGATAGACATGAACGTTTAGAAAAAATGATTCGTAATGAACTTGAAGGAAATACTTCAGAACGTCAAACACCTGTACCAAGTTTACTTTCGGATGCACCTACTACATTAATAAATCCACATTATCAAAGTCATACATCATTACGTCATGGACAAGGTGAAAATGTACGATCAAGACCGTCGAGTGGAACGAAAATGAATCAAAATTAAATTAAAAACAACAACACTTTCTTTTCTTTTTTGTGAATATTGTCTAGTCTTTTCATGAATATTTTTTTTTCTTGACAGACGTTAAACATATACACACATTTATTTTAATCATTCAATAAGCTTTTTGTTGTATTGTTTAAGCAATGTTTTTTCTTGAAATAAATCGTTTATCTTCGCGCCTTAATTAAATAATTTTCTAGAATGGAACAAAATCAATCTCAAACATCAATTTTGACCATAGATACAAATTCAAGTTCATCGACCATTGAATCAAATAGTGAGAAAATGAAAAATTGAAAGATTTTATTCAGATTTTTTTGATTTTTAAGTTAAATCAAAAAACACAAATACCGAAGAGAATAATAGTATATCAATAGGAGAAATTATTCTTTATGGTTCATGTCTTATTATTATTTGTACAAGTATGTTGAAGAGTTTTCGTTCTTTCCGATGTAATGTAAATAGACTTTTCTTTTTCTTCAAAAAAAAAAAAAAAACAACATTTATTTTTGTCCGATAGACTGGAAATATACTTTTGTATTTATTATACCGTTGAATAAAGAAACTTATACTATTTTTTAAAATAAAATTTTCAGAAAAATCTATTGACTATGCCGTTGTTTTTGCAAAGATGTTCTTCCGTTACTTATTAACTAAAAAAAAAAAAGTCTTAAAAGAATTTTTATTCAGAGTCTTTATTAAAATAACTTTATAAATGTAACTGTAAATGACTATTAATAAAAGAAGTTATTGTCAGTTTTATTGTTTGGTATTCATATGCTTTGAGAATTCGATTGATGCTTATTCAAGACCTATACCTATGAAAAGAAATCGACATCAAACTTGTTTTCAACTTTTCTACATGGTTGTAAAGTTCTGAAAGAAGAAGTGAATCAAGTTTTCAAAATATATTGATTGGTAAAATGAATATCCACGAGTAAAACTCATCATCCAAAGAAAATCTGTAGTTTTCAATCTAATTTACTGATAGACAATTTAGAAAACTTCGACTATCATTACTAAAAATAGTTCTGATACAATTGGACTGTATGCGTTTCTTCTTTTGATTCCATTTATGTTCATCCTATTTGCTTACTATGTGATCGAGAACAAAACTTTATCACTCTTACTCATACCTAACAGCTGTCCGTATACTGTTAATTTAAGAATGTATAAAAAAATGTATCTATAGATATCTGTAAGCAGTGAATTAAAATATATTAAGTATTAATGTTTTTTGCATAATCTTTATCTGTTTGTTGTGATCTTTGTTGATTGTTAGTGAAACCCTATAAAACGGCTGATGAACTATAAATAAATTGTTTATTTTTATTTGTCTAGACATCTATCCAAACAGTGACTTACGGATTAGGAAACAACCCCCAACTGTCGGATCACGTTCCATCTGATATTATCACTATAAGTAGATTTATGTCAGGCTAAAAATAACTTGAAAGGATTCTAGTCCATGCCCTATTGCTGAAGAATGATGGCTATGCTGCTGGATTCTCTTGTCAGAGTAAGACATTTCCGAAAATATCACAATGAAGAATATTATTCTAAAACATTATCTACAGTTAGAACTAGTAATCATTAAGAACTTCTCAAAGCTTCAAATAAAACAAACGTGTCGTTCTTGATATACTCAAATTTCAAGCGGATTTGACTATTGAGTTCTGCTGTAGTAAACTGCTGTTTTTTTTTGGAAACTGAATATCTCGAGAATAACACGTGTATTCTTTTTTAAACTTTTAGAACTTTTTTAATGATTATTAGGTCTATGTCTAGGCAACATTTTAAGATATAATTCTTTATCTTAGTATTTTCAATGATGCCTAAAAATGGTTTTTCTTTCTTAGTCTTAGTCTCATATAGTTCTACTCGTAGCCATAAAATCCAATTAAGCAGTATCTGATGGTTGGAAACCATGTCTCTTAAGCAGTTATTTCTTAAAATATATAAATCATTTAATTAATATTTCATACGCAATATATTTTTTTATCAGTTAGTTTTACTCAAGCTAACAATTCAACATACCATTATACAAATATGTTAAGAGAAGCATTTGTTACTTCACAAACCGATGATGGAAATACATTTAATGATATTGCACAAAGCAGTGGTGAAGATTTTTGGAAGGTTTATCAGTTATTAAATTATTTTTTTGTTTACATTGAACATTTGTGTTTTTTTTTCTTAGGCATTACAAGGACCTATTTGTTCACGATTGTATAATATTGATAATACTGAAACTAATACACCACAAATTGATTATGGTTACATATATAATGAAAATAAAATTCTTGGTAATAAGCAAAACTTTTCTTTGAAGATTATCGATAGAGTATATTTATTTTATTTGTAGGAGTTGCACGATTAAGACAAGTTCGAGTAAATTGATGTGTATTTATATAAATTATTTTTTGATAAATTTTACATTATAGGTTCAACCGAATTCTTGTGAACTTCATAAAGAATTTGCTAAACGAAATTTTACTCAAGAATGTTATGCAGAATATACAGTTGATAAAGAAGATCAAGATTCATTTGGTAATAATTCATTAAATATCTTTACATCTGATGCGTACGTTTTAATACTCTTTTGAAATTTCTAATTAACATATATATTTACAGTTGGAATTATACATCTGCTAAACAGACTAGAACAAGTGCACATGCAGGCGTTGTCTCTGAATATGGTGGTGGTGGTTTTGTACAATTGTTTACTCGAAAGTATTGATGTAGTATAATAATAAGTTTATAAAGAATATGTTCTTAATTGTTTAGTGCTAATACTACAATTGAAATTCTTCGAGAATTACAAAGAAATTCATGGATTAATCGAGGTACACGAGCAATATTTTTTGATGTTATTGTTTACAATCCAAATATTAATTTATTTTGTCATATACGGTAAAATAAAATTTGAATTATTATACTAAAATATTTCATTTAGTCTCCTTGCGGAATATCCATCATCAGGTATATAATTTCTTTTTTTTAAATTCTATGATGAAAATATTTCATGATTATGTAGGCGGTGCTATTACTTCAACATCTATTCGAGCAGTTAAATTAATTCGAGTATGCTAATAGAGTAAATTCTATTAATTGTGTAATGATCATATGAATATCGAATGATGAGAGAAACGAACCTATTCATATATGTTCGACCTTTTTTAATACAAAGATTCATAGACCATCGAATACAAGAATAACGTACAGATGCAGTTATTCCGAATAGTTTTTGTATTTATCTGAAAATTATTTGGTCAACTCTAATGAGATGTTAAACCTGTGATAGTTTTATATTTCGTCTAACTAAGCGCGAAATGTCTTGCTAGGAAATTGGTATTTGTATAGTCTAATATTTCTTCTTTTGAGGATTCACTTACGAGAGAAATCTTTCAACTGATAAATTGTTTTTGAATCAAGACTATGCGCATTATGTAGATCCAACTTAGGTATGAATACTTATGAAAAGATTTCATGCTCTTAGCTTATTCCTACAGAAACACTACACTATTACGAAACATTTTCAGACGAATATAGGAATAATAAAAAAAATTGATTTTCGAATTTCGGCCTGAAACTTTACATAGAGACAGGCGCTAACGAGAATAGTTTATTTTGAAAGTTTAAAGTATTTCGATTTGCTTCTATCTTGAAATACAAGTATAAAATCTGCCGATTTGTATGAGCAATGTAAAAGACACACGATTATTATAGGTAGGGATGCACCAGTCCCAGTTCTGACTGGTGAACTGGGTACTGAGTCCTTTGATATTTAGTCCATTAGTCGATTAGTACTTTCTTTTCGAGTATATTGCCATACAGTGATTTTTAGGCTGTTGAAGTAGTGAAATAAGTTATGATACTAAATCCATTGGCTAATCATATATTTCTATATATCAATCGTTATAATTTAGAATACTATAAATGAATTTCATGTTTTCAGGGTGTGGGTATGGCTAGGGTGTAGATGTGCGTGGGTGGATTGTGGGTGTGGGTGTTGTTTGGATGGATATGGGTGTGGATGTTGTTTGGCTGCGGGAATAGTTAGAATGGCAATAACGACACCCATACCAACGTCAAACCAACCCCCACACCCACACCCTTAGAAAAGAGGGAAGTACCGATAGATTAGCGGAATAAACGTCAAATGACTAAGTACCCAGTCGGACTGGGTGCCCAGTCTGACTGGATACCCAGTCTGACTGGGACCCAATTACTGGCACTGGTGCACATCTAATTACAGGTGTATCTTAAGATAAAAACAACGGCAAGATCTAGAATATTCACAAGAAAACCATTCTCTTTCATGCCTGTTTGTATGCAAGCCTTCATATCGAAGTTTAAAGATCAGTTTTTCTGATACTAAAAATTTGTAGAGAAACAAAATTTTGAAACTCTACTTATTGTTCTCTTGAATAAAATGAAGTAAATATAAGCAGACTTTATTGTTGTGAAATAACTAAGATTGTGAGAGAAACCACCTGATGATAGATCATCTGCTGTAGGAGATGTCCAGTCACAATGGGTTTCGTTCTTCGTCCCTTCAATCACTTCGTATAGCATTCCGAGAATAAAAGTACTTTTGGTCAAATTTTTAATTTCTCCCCTACTAAAAAATATCGACAACGCTAAGGACACAAGATTCATTCTAAAATAATGTCCTAAAAGTGTACTATCTACGCAGCGATAAGCTCAGAACACAAAATGTTTTTAGAACTCATGTCAATTCACATAATACACATAGCTTGGACTCCGAAGGGACTGATCATTTGGAGAGCTGCGCACATTAGTGATAAATCAACTAGGCAATGACACTTTAAATTTCAGAGCTCGAAACAAAAGGATTTAGTACCTGTACTTTTCGTACTGTCTCAGGTAAACGTGAAACTACGATTACTCATCAAGTGTACCTGTACTTTGAACAAAGTACTTAGTACTTACATTTGTATTTTGGCAAAAAAAAATACTTAATACTTTACTAAATGTGTCATAATGATTGCACTATCTAATATTTTGTAAATGTATTAGCACAGATAAATTATATTCTCCTCTCTTATTTTTTAGAAGATGCGTTATGAAACTAACTTTTCACGATATTATCACTAGTGGAGGAAATTTACTATTACCAAGTAACGATAACGGAAAATCTTCGAGTTTGTCAAAAGAAAATTCATTCTGCGAAACTGATAGTTCCTTATCAAGTTTGATGAGTAGTGCTCGGGTCCGAGGAACCCGAATCTATAATCGATCTCTCGAACTTTGCAGAATACTAGTTTCTCCTAAAATTCAACTAAAGTACTTTTACGTGTTCTATTTGTATTTATTCTACCTCTGTTGAGTTTCATTTATATCTAGATGTAACTAAAATAAAACAAAATAATATTTTTTAAATAGATCCTTTTTTTATTAGTATACAACTTCCATTGATTATTTATCTTTTATTTGTGAAATAATATTTACTCTGATTGTTATTCTACAAGTAATCGAATGTATCATTGAAGTAAATTTAATCTTGAAGATTTTTCTAATCTAATATTTATCATTTAAGATTTTCAATAAAAAATATTTATTTCTATTTAATCTATGGAATTTAATAAATCTTATTACAATTATTCTTTCATTTATACGTATTCTATATGAAATAGTGAATCATTTTTTAACAAAAAAAAATCTTGGAAATTTATTAAAAATCGAAAATAATTATCCAAATTTTGATGAATTATTCAATCTTAAAATCAATTCAGATTTTTATTTAGGTGTAACACTTGCAATAACATGGTTAAAAATTTTTAAATATTTAAATATAAATAAAACAATGCTTTTACTTAATAAAACAATATCATCGTGTTTAAATGAAATATTTGCATTTACTTCAATTTTTTTAATTATTTTTCTTGCTTATACTCAACTTGGTTGGATTTTATTTGGTAGATATTTAACAGAATGGAGATCATTTCGTACATCAATGTAAATTTATTAGAATGTTCTATTTTTTGTTTTCTATAATATTGATTTTAGTTTTGCTTTATTTCGAATGATACTTGGAGATTTTGATCTTTATGCCATGAGAAATATTGGTCAAATAATTGGACCATTATTTTTATTTTCATATATTTATTTTGTTTATTTTGTTTTATTAAATATGTTTTTAGCTATAATAAATGAAACATATTCAAGAGTTGAATCAGATAAAACATTACAAACATTTAAAATAAAAAAATTTTCAATGAATTTCTATCAATTAATACCGAGAAAAAAATCAATTGATTATGAAACAAATTTAAAAGTAAAGTTGCAATAAAAATCGTTTTTTTCTAGAATTATATTCACTTGCGTTTCTTTTTTTTTATAAGATTCGTGGTTATACAGATGATGATATTAAAAAAATCGTTAATAAATATGATATAAATAAGGATGGAAATTTAGATGAAAGAGAACAAAAAATCATGAAACATGATTTAGAAACAGGACAATTAAAGCTTAATCAAAAGTAAAATACCTTAAGGCATACCAAAAGTAGTGATGAATTCCTTATAAAAAGCTAAGAAGTGCTCTCTTCCCTCTTTTTGACCATTTCGGATTCGCCAAGACAGTACAATCGATCAAGCTGAAAATTTTACCATAGATAAAATACAGAGATAAGTGTTCGAGAAAAAAATTTTTAGCTGAACGTTTACGGCATTTTGTGAGAAGTCCTGGTTTCTCATAGAGTCCCATCTTGGTACATTACGACAGTCATCAAAGTTTATCTGATTGGGCTAAAAATTCTTTTGGAGATACTCAACAGTGTAGCTCAGAAGTATTTTTAAGCTTTCGCAAATCTCTGATTTGCTCTTTTTGAAATGCGTAAATGCTCGGTGCCAAACTCGGGAGTCTTAACTTTCAGGATCTTGTAAGTTCAAATAGGAAAACCAAAAACAATCAATGTCACCTCTCGAAAATACTTCCAAGTAGCAGTAGTAAAAGTTTCAACTCGATTTAACAAAATTAAACGGGGAGTCGTACTCCATTTATGATAAACATTTCAGCTTGGCAGTTTCTATGTTCTTCAAATAGCAGAAACAGCTAAAAAGCTGGGAGGAGTACCCTTAAAGAAACTTTCTCTCTGTGTGTATGGTATGAAAGTATAAACAATGCTCTACATTTTTCTGATATTTGATCATTCTTCAACTAATTTTATAATAATAAAATATCAATAAGAGTTATTTGTTATCATATCTAGTGGTAATATTAGATCACATTTCGTCTTCGATGTGTTTTCGGTAGTGTCTATTCGTCTATACATATTAAAATGTACGAAAAATGATGCCTGTAAATTTTGGTTATTCGACTGTACAAAACAAAATCTAAGCAATCGAAACGATTACAAATTGTTATATCTTGCTGTCAAGAAGACTAAAAAAAAATGTTCGATAAATGTATTAATGAATTCAATTGGGTGTAAATAATCACAACAATTATATCGCATATTTAGAAAACTTTTTTCTGTATTTCTTTTTCATCTATCAACATCACTTTTTGTATACCTCAATTTATATAGACTGCTAGACACTAGAAGAAATGAGGAAAAAATAAGGTTATACTCATATAAGACAAATGTTATATAATATTGCTGTGACACATCATAAAAAACAGCTTTTACTAAAAATTTTATAATTATCATATCAGTTTACGAATGAAAAAATATCACAGAATTACTATCGAATCACATCGAGAGAAAGATTTTGATAAAGAATCAAAATACGTCGGTCACTAATTTTGGTATGCCTTCAGTATATTATTCAATAATATTTTTCCTTCTTTTTTTTTTTTTTTTTTATAAATGTTATTTATTTTTCTATTCAGTGACGATGCAAACAAATCAGGTAATTATAAAAAAAAAAGTAATTAGAAGTGTAGCAATTAGCAAGATATTACAGATAAATACATTTCTTAAACACGCAAATAAAAAAATCAAGGAATAGCCTAAGAAAGTAGATCAGACTGGCATAAAAACGTTCTAGGCACAGTAGACTCCAAGAAGTTTTGTTTTTCGACATATCAATATTGTGTTCAGGAATGAGAGTTATTTCTTTAGGTTCAGATAAATTGTATGATATATTATCATATGGATAACCTACTAGAAATTCCAATCGATCTACTATATCGAAGAAAAAAAATATTTTCGAACGTTTATATAAATATACTATTGTTTATTCTGTGTTAAAAGCGCAATCATTCAGTCGTTACTTTTACGAATGGTATTCAAGTTTTTGTCCTTGATTGGATATAAATATTTATTATGCTTTCTGTTTGCGAAGGTTACTATGGTTTACATTTGCATTTGATGGATAGAAAAGATTTAAGAAAGTAACAAATTGTAATGCTTTAGAAAATCAAGAATCTACTGAATCCCTTTATTTTAATTTAAAAGAATAACACGTTCGATAATATTGAAATAATTTAATTAACGTTTGAAAAAAAAATTTATATATATATATATATATACTTTTTTATATTAACATTTAGATATTAACAAAAAACTTTCATATGATGAATACCTTGAACTTGATCAATATGTTAATGCAATAGAAAAAAAAACAGTATATTATATTAATAAAATCGAAGAAGTTCTAATCAATCTTGATGCTCGCCATAAGACAACAACAAGAAACTGAGTACTTAGTGAAGAAATAATTAATAGGTCATAAAATTCAAATTAAAGCTTTTGATACTTTGCACGCATAATATTATTTATATGAATCAGTAGTCTGGATGTATGTATGCTGTATTACGTCTTTAGAAAGTGATAATAGTCATGCATCTTACAAACAAATGACAGTGGTTAGTTACACATACTTTGTGTACAGTAGTTTGTTTCGTTCGTTCTTTTTCTTTCTTTCGTTCTTTTTTTTCTATATATATATATATATTTCTGTTCGATGCTTATTGATGTAAGCGTCACTCATTTGTAAAAAACATGTTTCTTGACAACCTGTCTATCTATTCGATTCCGTTCATTGGTATGATATTTTTAATGATTACTGTAAGTTTGTCTAAAACTATCGGCCTATTCACATATAAATTATCTACCAATCAACAAACTTCTCAATCTGTAAATAATGATTATATAAAAGATTCAACGAACTTGTATATATCAATTCAAGTCAATCCGCTTGCACAAATTGATAATAATCATAATAATGATGACGATGATGAAGAATTAATAAAATTAGATATATCACCAATGGTAGCTTCAAGGTTTTGTGAAAATAATTCAATTGAATTACGTTTAGATCAAGATGCTGAATATGACAATGATATAGCCAACGAAATTAAAATTTAATGCTCAATTTTTCCAGTCTTTCACTCTGGTTTTTTTTCTTTATATTTTTTTATAAATAGAAAAATTATGTGTACAAATAAATTATAGTAAAATATATTTGTTTATTTTCAAAACTCATTGAATCTTTCCAATGAATTCTTTTTCTTTTATAATTAATTAATTGACACGCTCAAGCTTTATTTGAACGTAATCAAAAATCAAGTAATTTTCATAATTTATTGATTGTGTTTTGTAAAAAAATAAACTTCGTTCCGCCAAATTTGTAGTCAACAAAAGATATACTCTTCTTTTAATGACGATATTTCATTAAATAAGCAAGAACGATTGTTCCTTGTTGAAACAAATCTAAAAAGAAAATATTCATTAAAATAATAAAGATCGAAAACATATTTTTCCTGGTAACACAATCTACTAAACAATGTTTATTTTCTTCATAAAATCTCTATGATGATTCATTTATTCAATTACAATTGTATAGAAAATGACGATGAAATATACTGAAGAATTATTTGTTGTATTTCGCATTTATTTCATGTTCGTTTAAGGTTCATCAAGTATTGAAATACGAATAACATAAAAATTGTTGTTTTTTTTTCTATTCCAATCATATACGTATAAAATATGTTGTAAATAATAAATCATCTTTCACTTATCAGTATAAGTTATGAACATAATCTTTTTTTTTTACTATTGAGAATACAATCGATCAAACAAGGTTATTTTCGTAGGGTCGTATACGACTGATGCTCATGAAAACCATGTTTTTGTGACCATAGTTACTTATATTGGGGATGAGATTTAACGATGGGTGTATATATAGTTTAGGAGATATAAAATTTCATGAGAAACAAGTTTCATTACAATGAAATTTCTTTTAAAGCAATACTGTTGGGACTTCTGAAAAAAGTTCAATATAAAGAGATGTTCATCTATGGAAGATGTGATATATTTCACTACGAAATGAAAAAAGACGTTTCAAAATATATAAGAAACCATTTTTCTATATTGTTTATCTTTCTTCATTTGATGATGCATGAATGTCATGAAATGACTAAGTTATACTGTGTGATATTTTTATCGAAATATATTTTTCTTTCACAACATAATCACTTCTGTCCTTACTTTAACGTCATACGTATTTCTTTCTTCCTTTTTCTGTATCATCATATACGGGACTTTACCTTTTTTTATTCTTCCTAGCATTTAAATTTTTCCTATCTTGTCAATTATCATGAACATTCCCATTGCGATCATCTATATACACAGATCATAATTTCGCAACAAAGATTCTGAATTTCGATCTACATAGTTAGCCACTTAAAACATTCACATCCTTTACAATCAATAGAAAAATATGTTTTATTTCACAAAGTTCTGTATTATTATTTGATCTTCATATTGAAAATTTGATGAATGTTACTGTACAATTCATTGAAATATATACAGTCTACGAAAATTGAAAATATACCCTTTGGTGTTTTTTGTTTCTTATTACTATACGTTTTTATCTATTAATGTACTACATATAGGAAGAAAGCCCGGAACGCGCTGCATCTTTTCGTATATTTACATTGAACATCAAATGCAGCTTAAAGTATAAAAAGTGTATTAGAAAAAAAGTCACATATTTTCTTTTTACACATTTCGGGCGTCCATAATGTTGTAACGTTTTTTTTCGCATATATCTCAGCTTAGGTAAATGATAAAACTTTGAATTTTTTTTCAAAAGATGCGCCGTGAAAAGCTCTACAAAAGCTGTATGATCGAATTTCTTTTTACCTGTTCTAATGGTTTTTCATATACTCAAAATGAATAACTTACATGCCGGTGTAGCCTTCCATCATTTCTGAAGATAGGTCGAGAACTTTTCTGATTGGCTATAAGATTTGGTCTATACAAGTTTTGTAGAGCTTTTCACGACGCATCTTTTGGAAAAGTATTCAAGGTTTTATCATTTATCTAGGCCGAGATATTTGCGAAATAAAAAATGTTACAACATGTCAAAAACTGTAAAAAGAAACAAATACCACTTGCCTTTCTAATAGACTTTTTACATGTTAAACTGCATTTGATGTTCGATGTAAATATACGAAAAGATGCAGCGCGTTCCGGGCTTTCTTTCTATATATAGTGTGCTAATACATAAAAATAGTATAGTAATAAAAAACAAAATAAATCAAAGGGTATATTTTTAATTTTCGTGGACTGTATTTATTGAGTTTCATTACGTTAAAACTTTTAAATTTTTGTTTAATTCACTGCATTTAGTTTGTTTGATGATAATCATTGTAATATTACTTTTGTCTCGTTTAAAAATATTTCATACAGAAACAAGTAGAATATAGTAGTTCTCATATGAATCATCGCTATTGTTTTAATGTTACTGCTTTCTTTGATACGTACACTTAGAATAAACAATGAACAGCAATTGTGGAGCTTTAGCCAGAAATAATAGAAAAGAGGAAAGGACAAAAATCATGTATTCATTAAAAGAAAATCTTAAAATAGTAGTTGGAAGTGGAAAACTATCTTCAAGGCAATTATCAAATTCCGATAACAATATTTCATTGAGTATATTAAAGCACAATCCGACTCAAGTGATGTGCTTTGTTTGCCGCCATATTTTGTTGATTTGTAGAAGATCACTAGAGTATCTTAACTTCTAAAGGTTGTTTACCCTTGTTTATATTCGTTCGATATAACAAAATTTTAATTGATTCATTGTGTAGGAGATTAGTTTTCGAAAAACATTATATTTGGAAAATTTTCACTTGAAATATTGTGCTCATGAAAGTCTTTATTAGATTATCTCATATACAAGTTTTCATCAGTTTTGAATATCACATTAATGAGATAGAAATATATTAAGAAATACATACTTCGCAATGCGAAATTCAAAACTGACGAAATTTTGTGTATGAGATAGTCTAATCAAGACTTTTATGTGTACAAAGTATTGAGTCGAAATTGTCAAATAATATTTTTTTGAAAACTATACTCTTCTAGATAAGAATCTTGACACATAAATTTGGATAAACATATAGAATTTCGTTTTATTAAGACTTTTCATTTTTCGAGCTATTTTGCATATATTAATATTTTCTACTGGTAAAAATAATTTTGTCTAAAGAGAACTATTTTTACACCTGTATTTTGTCTTTTTTTTCTGTCAAATTACCGGAAATTTAACAAAACGAAATTATAGGTTATTAGTTCTTATTAAATTTTCTTACCTATTTTGTTTTTTTTATTCTGAACAACATTTTTTTTTTACTTAACTACATTCACATAAAAATGTGTAAAGGTAAATGCTGTGTCTAAAGTAAAATAGTACTTGAAACTACATAAATTATTTTCAAGTGTCACTTTTGATCATTCAATAAGAAAAAAACAGGTACGAAAATAACTTACAAAACTATAGGATTTATTTTTATGGTTAATTCTTCTATAGAAAAAATTTCAAGTAACTTCTCATTGGTTTTATATCTTAACCAATAAATGAATTCATTTGAACCTTTACAAAAGAGGAAATCTTTTCGTTTGAAATTTAGGTCAACATGGAAAAAAGAAAAACAAAAGAATAATCATTTCAAATTTGAATTCCTTGAAAATAAAGTTCTTACTTTATTATTTTTGTCTTATTTTATTTAATTATTATTTCAAAAATAAATGAAATAGAGGTATAAGAACGGAACAATGGTATCTACTTGACAGAATTTATTACCATAAAATCAATCAATCAAATCTCTTCATTTATATCTTAACATAAAATATCTACGCATATAATATATATATATCTATTTTAGATCGAATATTTCTTTCATCTAAACTTTACGTCAAATGTTGTTCTGTGTTTATTTTTGTCCCAATTAATATATTATCAAAATATGTACGGAAAAAATAAAGGTGTTACTGCTCCATCTGATATGCATGCCAAAGAAAAGTAAAATTTTATTTATTATAATTTTTATTGTTTTTTAATTTCTTATATTTATTAATTAGATTGAATTTATATGTTTACGAATATTTGTACCATATTGGTGCACAAAAAGCTGCTCAGGGATTTTGTGCGGATGTAAGATTGTTTCTTTTTTTTTTGTTTCAAATATATTTCAATGTAATATGATTGTATATATATATATATATATAAATAGATGAAATGGGAACCGAATAAAATGTCACTTGGTGAAGCACCAGGATTTTTATTTAGCTGGTGGTGGTAAGAAAAGTTAATCTAAATTTTATTATTAAGATTATCCGGTTGTTTTAGTGTCTTTTGGGATTTATACAGTGCAGCACCAGAACGTCGAGATCAACATCCTCATTCAGAAGAAGCAAAAGCATTTCATGATTATGTAAATTTTTATTTTGTTTATTGATTTTTCAATTTAGAAATTAAATTTTTTTTTTAGGGTTTTATTAATTCCAATTATGCTCCTAATGGTATTCCTCCTCAAGTATAATAAATGATTCTATTAGATTTTCGTTTATTTATTGTCTTTGTTTTTTTTTAACTTAGCCAAATACTAATCCCAATGCTCCACCACCAATGCCCATGAATGTCGGTGAAGGAATGCATAATCCAAATGCACCATTTTTTCCCGTAAGTGATTAATTATTTAAAAAAAAAATGAATTATTTATTTCTATTTTTATAGCCACCGGGACAACAAATGATGAATCAAGTAGGATTTAGATATTCATTTTTTTGTTTCGATTACAAAAAAAAAGAATTCTTTTTTTAGTATCCACGTTATCCAAATGCACCGCAACGTTCACTTGTTCGTATGCCATCTCAACCAGATTATTCAGTAATGAGAATATTAAAAATATAACTAACATTATATTATTTATTTTTATATGTAGGGTGGACCAAATGGTGGAAATTTAATGCCACCACAAATGGATGCTGGTCGAAATGGTAACTATACATTATTTATATTTAAGTAAAATTAAATTTTAAAATTTAGGTTTGCGTTTGACATCACCAGGTACTCGATTACCTCCAAATCCAATGGGTCATACAGGTCCAGGCGGACCACCACCTCCAAATGCTTATAGACCTCAAGTTATGCCACCAGCTATGTCACCATCAATGAGTCAAACTGGACCAAGAATGTTTATGACAAATTCACCAGGAGTAAATTTAATCAATATTATATTTATTCAATTTATTGTTTCATATTTTTATAGGTTGGAAGTTATTCGTCATCATCACCTGTTCCTTATGGTGTATGTATTTCAATATATTTTTGTCAAATATTCCGTATTTTTTTAGACATAAAATATTAGTTTGATATATCTCGACTCCACTGTTTGTTTCTTCTCTAGCTAATAGATTGTAGAGTTTTTGCTAAAAAGTTTTCTTATGTATAATAATAATAATAATATAATTATGATTTAGACTCCATGTCCAACCGGACATGCCCCGACAACACCAATGATGCCAAGTCCTCAAGATTCAAATGGTGGAGAAATGCCACCGTATGGTATGAGAAATATGTCTAGTGGAATGCCTCCAGGACCTAATCCAATGGTAAACAAAATTTTTCTTATTAAAATATACTTCATCATTTTATTTTATATAGTATCACGATCCACATCTGACCCATATGTCATCAATGCCACCTGATATGTCTCACCATGGTTCAATAAATGGTATTTATTTTAATAACTTTTCTAAAATACAAACTAAAAGAGGTTTAACATAGAAGTAAAAATTTAAACTCCCATAGAAACCGTGACAAACTCTTGCTAAAGTCTCTAGTCAGAAACTGTGACAGACATTATTGACATACGATCAGAGACCGTATATCAATAACATCTCACTTTAGTATATGAAATACTTCCTAATTACGTTTATGAAAGATGAAATAAAAGGATTATGAAGAAATGTGTCAAAAAATAGATAGAATAAAATAATCTTCTATTATTCATTTTTTATATTTTAATCCTGTAGGGATCATACTGAAAGATTTAAATATATTTCTTAGGTGATTATGATCCACAAATGAAACAGTCACCTGGTCAACAACAAGCACAACCACCGCCATCTGATGTAGCAAATTTTAATTATGGTGAAGATCAAGTAAATGATACAAATGCGATATTAAAATTAAAAGAATCAATGCAAGAGGAAGTAAAAAAATTTGATAAAACACCTAATAGTTCAAATAATGATGATTATAATCATTTTGGTGGTATTGGTTGATGCTTCATGAACATTTACTAAAGACAAAATAATATATATACATATATACATATGAAACATTCTGATAAGAAAAATCTCATTTCATTTACTTAGTTTATGTTCTTGTTTTTTTTTAGTGTGGATTCATTGAATGAGGAGATATTTTTCCCTGCCCCTCCCCTTCCCCCTTTTTTTTTACTATGTAGAATACTCTTGTGTATGTGTCTGGGCGGAAAACAGTACAAAAAGGAAAAAAATTAAAAGAAGAACTTTGTCGTTGAAAATTTTGTTTTTTTTTGTTTCTTTTGTCTATATCCTTATTGTTTTTTTTTTTCGCTAACATTTTGTTTTATGAGTCGTTCATTGAACATTCCGAAAGAAAACGCAGCTTACTAAGGAAAATTATGTGCGACGAGTTTTCTTGAGAAAAAAAAAATGAATAAAATTGGATTTAATCTTCTGTAGAAGAAAAAAGCGCATCTCTTTTTTTTTGTGTACGTCTTGTTTGTATCATGTACATTTCTCTGTTCAATCGTGCGTGTGTGTGTGTGTGTGTATAAGTGAATTTGTCTTATTATATCTATCCTTAAATATAAATATTTCAAGAAATGATTTGTGTATTATTATTTAATGATAGAAAAGGTGAAATAAGGATTAAATACTTGGGGTTTTATTTGATTAAATGATAATCCTTTGTAGGTGGAAGAGAGAGGCTTTATTTCGAGTAAGATTTATTCTTGCTTATTATATATATCATTCCCTTAATGTCGATTTCTAAGAATTTAAAAATTTATTATGTTTTTTATATTAAAAAAAAAGCAAAAACAAAATAATCCTCAAATTTTCCTATCTGACTGAAGGAAATATTAATATTAATAAAATTATACTGTTCCTTTATCTCGTATTAGCTGAATAATCATATAGCCAATCATTAATGAAAATAGTGTAAGACATATAGTAATAGCTATTTTAAATATATATGATAATTTTTTTGTTTTATTAAGTTCTTGTTCAAGATGTTTTGATGATGAATATTCAAAGGCTGCAGCTGCTTTTTCAAGATCACGTGTTTTTTCATTTAAACTTGTTAAATATTGTAAACGTTGTGTATGTAATGATGATAGACTTTGTTCAATACCATTTCTAACATCAACAGCACGCTGATTTAATTTAACAACTTGTTCATTTAAAGGTGAACTTATTTGTTTATTTGTTGATAATTGAGATTGATGAAGTTTTATACGTGAACGAGTAGGAAAAAATAATTCTATTAAACGATTTTTTTTATATGATTTTGAATTATTTGAAAGACGTTTAAGTGATGTTAGTTGTTCATTAGATGAATTTGATAGATTATATAAATAAATAAAATTTTTTTTAATTTTCTTATTCTTATCTATTTGTTGTTGTTTTCTTGTTTTTAATCGTTCGTTCATTACAAACTCGGTATTTTAAGAAGAGAATAAACAAATTACTATTAAAGATTTAAAGAAATTAAGATTTTATTTTATTGAATGGTTACTCAGACAACAATAAGTAATGCCTTTTTTTTTTCTATATCTAAAAAAAAATTTCTTCTAACTAAGTTGATCTCGAATCTTTTTCATTTCACTAAGATTATAATAAGGACATGTTCGTTGATAAGATAAAATATTTGGAATAAATGGTACTCGATTAAGAACTGTTTGTTTTTCTTTATTAACACGTAATTGTTCATTTTGTTCAAAATTTTTTAATTCATCTATATTTGGTAGAGTAAAAAAACGATTACGTAAATAATTTTGTAGATGATTAGATCTTTTTACAGTTTTATTTTGTGATGATAAATTTCTATCGATTAAACATGAATAAATAGCATCAAATCGATCAATATTATCAAAAAAATAATTTGGCGATGTATTCTAGATATTTGTCAATGAATATTTATGGTCGAGTTTTTGTTTTTTTGTTCGAGATTTTACTTACGTGATATTTTGGATTAAATTTTAAGCTTTGTTTTTTTGAATAAATATCATAAAGAATAAGTGCTGTTATAGCATTAATTTCTTCGACTAAATATGCTGGTTGATCTTGATCATTTTTATTTTCTTCTTTTTCTATTTGTGTTTTAGATGTTTTTTCTTTTTGATTTCGTTCATTTATTCGTCGATTTTTTTCTTCAGATGATGAAACAAAATTATATTTTACAAAACAATCATCATGCTCAGAATTATTTTCATCGGTGTTATTAGGCATATTATTGATTTTACTTGGTGTTCGTTGAGTTTTATCTGTTGAATGTTGTTTATCGATTGCAGGAGAATAGAGATCATGTTTATCTCTTTCTGAATAGTTGATATTGGTAGATGATGTAAAATCATTGTTCTTTAGAGTATTTCGTATGGGACCCATGACGACAATAAATAAATGATGAAAATAAAACAAAAAATAATAATAATATGAGAATAATAGAGCGGGTTTTATCTTTAAAAAAAAGATTATATATATATATAAGCTTATTATGATATTCCTATAATTTCTTTCTTCATAAAATATTAGTGCTAAAGATATACGTCAAACATATTTTACACATATTATCACGAAAAATTAATAGAAAATATTTCCTTTTTTTTTCTCTTTCCTGCATTCATTTACCATCTTCTCTCACTCTGTATAAGCATACTACAATGTATTTTATGTTTAGTTTTTTTTATCTTTATTTCACTTTCATTACTTTGATTGAAGCAACATGAGTAGAAAGATAGAAACAGAATACAAAAAACGAATGGCGTTAAATATTTTATATTTATAGACAAATGGTATAGAAATCGAATATAAATGGCTCTCTTAATTGTCCCTCAAAGAGCCACCAATATAAAATCAGCTATCGATGCAACACTTCCAATGACATGTACTATTGAAAGTTCATATGTTGTTGATGGACATGGGGTAAGCAATGAAATTTGTTTCTTTTGTTTTGTTTAATCATTATTTATTTTAAAATTTAACTTAGGAATATTCTATTCGGGTTACACGTATATTAAATGATCCATCATCTTCATGGATAATAAGAAAACGTTTTCGAGAATTTGTTGATCTTAATAATACATTAAAAGAATATGGTTTTAATTTTGAATTACCAAAGAAAAAGTTTCTTGGTAATACTGATCGAATATTTATGGCTGAAAGACAAAAAGGTCTTCAGGTATGTTATAAAATTAAATTTTTTCGAAATAATAATTATAAAAATTTAGACATATCTTAATACACTCGTTCAACATATAGAACTTTGTAATTCCTTATTAGTTCATCGTTTTCTTGATCCATATAATCATATTATTAATTATCCTGGTATTGTAGAAGAAAAAAGAAAATGTTTTTTTTTAATTATATTTTGCTTTAGAATCAGCATTGCAATATGTATCAATGTTTATTCGTTCGATGAATAATATATATCAAATAATTGAACCACTTTTTGATTTCGGTAGAATAATTTTATATCTTGAATTGAGTTATTCATTTGTTGTGTGTTATTTTAAAGGATGGCGTTATAATAAAAGTTATTTTCTTGCAACAAAAACTGGTTGTTCGAAAAATGAACGTTATCTGTTAATATGGGTAATGAATATTGACTTAAAAAAGAATAAATACATTTTTTTGTTTGTAGTGTCATTATGGTTTAGATAAAGCACTTGGAGAAAAGGAAATTATGAGTTGTTTAAAATTACTTAAATCGATTTCAGTATGTATATATTCTGTATTCTGAAGAATTTCTGTGATATTCTATGTTTTTTTTAGCATCCATTGATTGTTCGAATTGAAGAAGTTTATGCCAATGAACATGGTACATTGACTGTCTGTCCATTTTATAATAAAGGATCATTAAAAGATTATATTCATCGAGTAATTAACCTATGACACGCAAGTCTTGACACAAAATATTTATTCATTTTTCCATCACTTGAAAACAGCTAGTTTAGAGTCAGTAGTAGTTAATTAGGATTAGACATATTCACTCTTTCTGAATATATGTTCAGAACTTTTAACGGGTCAGTTACAAAGCATGCTATCTATTGTTGTATTTTTAATAGCAGGTTTTTTGACCGACGCTGATTTTCATATGAGTCAGCTCTTTAGTGCAAACGCATAGATAAGATTTGGCTGATTGTGATATCACATTTCGTATAGAATTTAGTGCTTTACAATAATATCTGATTGAAGTCGTTCCAAGATACAAACTAGAAACTGTGCTACAACCGTTATTTTCTGTTGTACAGATCGGAGTGTTAACAAGTCTCTTTTTTTGACTGGGTTCAATAGCTGATGATTCTATCTTTTTGAGTGTTTGCCACAAACTGTCATGGGTTATGACAAACCGAATTCAACAGTCACACTTATTTCTTTTCCTTATCTCATCTCGTTACTTCGCTGCTGCATCACATCTATACATCCAAAGGAGTAACGGAGTAGTTAAAACAATATGAGCGATGCTCTTGAAATATCTGTGTGATGACCTACGGCGAATTCGCACGCATGTTGTGGCAACCTATATTAGACTGACAACTATGATATAGACACAATATTCGACTTTCTCATAACATTTAATGATAGGTATTCAATCTTATCTCGGGAAGAAAACCTAAACATAGATTCCGAAATAAGGAAAAATTCTGATCCTAACAAATTGTCTGCAAGTAGAAGAACAATGAACGAATATTTTGTAGCATGACTTTTGCATTGTTGAATTATTTTTGCATTTTATCTTTTTGAAAATGATTCATAGACAAAACCAGCTAATGGTGTTTATTGGAAACGATATGGTCCAACATCATCATTAAGACAATGTGATTTACATCAAATAAAGCTGTTAGGTCGTCAGATTTTAGAATCACTCAATTTTCTCTATGAAAACAATCTTGTTTATGGACATTTACATTCAGGAAATATTCTATTTGACTTTGAACAATCTCAATCAATCAAATTACTTGATATAAATAATGTTATAACAGGTGTATCTTCAAAATATCGACCTTATTATTCTACTCTTAAACATATTCATGTTAGTAAACAACAAAAAAAATAAAAAATCGAAGTCAAAATGTAAACTGTTTTCTTGCTTTTAGACATTTGAACAATGTGATATATATGCATTTGGACGTTTATTATATGAATTATCAACCGGTGAGGAATGTCCAATAAGTTTATATACAGAATTTCCGTCAATAATTCCATTTCCTGTTCAAGAAATTCTTTCAAAAATCTTTATATCACCAGGAAATTTACCAACAATACAACAACTTTTAAATGAACCGTAGTGTTTTAATTTTATATATATTTTTCTATTTAAAAAAAACAAGATTGATAACTTAGGTTTTTTCAAGTAACATTATCCAATGGTTTTGAACGATTTCAATTAAAATTAAATATCAAAGCAAAAGAAGCATTTGAACAAATTAGTCGAGTAGCTCAAGAAAGATTAGAAAATGATCAAATCAAAGTGATTTTAATTCAAATTAAAAAAAAAAAGAAAATCTTTAATTTACTTCGTTTAGATTAAATCTGCTCAACGTCATTTAAAAATTTCTAATCATCTTATGTCAGACGAAGAAAAACTTCGACGACGTCGAGAAAGACAAGTCAATAGTTAACAATTCTTTATTTCAAATTTATGCATATTATTTTTTTTTCAGGCGAAAGCACTTGAAAAAAAGATGGAAAATAGTTTTAGCAGTACAGATACATCAAGTATGTTGTTTGCCAGAGGAGTGCAAATATGTTAACTTTTTCTTTTCATAGTGTGCCCAAATCACACTGAAAACTAGGATATGAATATATTTTTTGATTGTGGTAATGCTATTTACTCTCATAATTGTACATAAACCGTAGTGTGTTCATATTAGAAAAGCTGCTTAAGATCTAACAATTATAAATTTAAGCTATTCTTTTCAAAAAAAAACTGTTGAATAAAAGGACAGAAACACATTAGAAGTTAAATCAGCATAGTACATTGAGTCATATATTAATGGAAAGAGTATGTTGAGACCAATGTGTTCGTGCTGTTTTCATGAAGCTTTGATCTAACCCTGAATTCTATAAGGTATTAACAAAGTAACGTAGTTTTGGTCATTATTCTAGTAATCCATCCTATCAGGGTGAATATAATCGGAGAATGAATAGATAAGACAAAATACTATTGAAATGATGAGTTTCATAGCTCTTTGATGATGCCTTTAATTCCATGTATAAATCATTGCTTAATTTAATGAGATGTAAGTTCGATGTGTTGGTAGACACTATTAGCATATTAACTATATTTATGGATAACTCTTATCTTTTCATGCCTTAATTTTAAAATTTAAATGATAACAATTCTTATATTACTCATTTGATAGCCTTTTTCAAAAACTTTAAAACTATTTACTTTTTAATTATTTTTTAAAAAGAGATTCAATTAGAGAAATTCAATTTGAATGAAAAACAAAATGGTTTTCAGTATCAGCTTGAAAAATTGAGTTGATCTATGTGTAATTTAAAGAGTTTCGCAAACTTTTTTTGTCGAACAATTTACACCTGCTTCCTCCTTCGGAGGCTAGACAAAACATAAACGCAATGTAAACGCTGTTTCTATTTTGTAAATATCTTCCATTCTGCCATCTAGTAACTTTCAACAACTTTCGAGATTTCTTGATAATTTTCAGATGGTGCTTTGCTGCCATTCATTTTTTCCTGTGGTCTCTGGAACGAACCACAGGTGAATTTTTCCATGAAAAATAAAATTCTTTAAATTACATATAGATCAAATTAGCCTTTTTTATGCTGTTGCTGAATATCATATTGGTTTTGACTCAAATTGAACTTTTCTGATCGAAATTTTCTGAATATTGACGAAGAACACAGAAAATTGTGCCTCGAGAAGTGTATGATCAGGAATTTTTTAAGTGGCCAGATTTGTTTGACTTCGGAAAATATAGGATTTTGTACCTTTTTAAAAAGACCATCAAATGAGTAATACCAGAGTTTTGGTCATTTTCAATTATGAAATCAAGATATTGAAAGAAAAGGGTTGTTTATAACTAGAGCACATATGGTGATAGTATTTACTAGTAAATCGGACCTATGTTGGATTGAAGAATCATCAAAAAGTTATAATATTCCTGATTTCTGTAGTATTGTTACTTTGTTGATAGCTTTTAGGTTTCAACGTTAGGTTAAAAGCTCATGAAACTAGTACCAATATGTTGGCCTTAACATATTCTTTCTGTTAACATACGATCTAATGAAGTTGACAGATTTGACTTTTTATGCGTCCTTTCTTCCTTGAAAAGAAAGTCGAATAATATCATTCGATTAACATGTCCCCTATACTTACATGCTCAATTTCTTTCCTTTGATATTCATAGAGAAAGCTTTTCGTAATAACAATAAGAGATATTAGCTAATATTTGGTTAAGGTTTTCTTCATTTACCAGCTAGCTTTTTATTGCTGCATACATTTTCTTTTATAATTCGGTTAAAGAAAAATGTCAAACTTATTTATATTTTATATGAAGCATTTGTTTTTTTTTCTTTTTCTATAGAAAGTCTTCAACATTCGATTACTGTTGATCCATTACAAAACACCAAAGAAACAATAATATCTAATAAACCTTTATCACCAAACATCAGTGTTGACGCACCCAATATTCCCGAAACATCACCTTCGCCTCAACCAACAGTGATCAATGATAATCGAACACAATTGTTAAATTCAATTTTAGATTTTAATTTATCAAAATTGAAACAAACGAAAACCAACGATCGTAGTGTACCTAAATTTAAATAAGAATATTTGATGTGAAGATTTAAAAAATTTATATGGAAATGTTCAATCAGCAAGGATATTCCAATCACAAGTTTTTTTTTGATATAGTCTCAACTGTTTTTCTTATATCAGTTATGGTTTATCCATAATGTTGATCATTTGTTGTTGTTCACACTCTATTTCTTGAAAATAAAGAGATTTATTTATCGAAATTTTTCTTGGAATCTTTGAATCACGAATGCATCTTTGATCAAACGAGTTTGTGAAAACGCTTGGGCACTAGTAAAATATGCTCTGATGCAAAAGCTCAAACAAACTAATATTTCGGAAAATGATGTTCTTTGAAATTATTATAAATGACTGATGACTCTAATCACTTCAAATTATGTAGCAGACCTACATTTGACTATTTTTCAAACATCTATTTTTTTAAGATTTAAAGTCAATGTAAAATCGAGTAGATTAAGAATAGATCAGAGCCTATATTATCAGTACCCACAAGTCTATTAGTTTAGATGAGACAAAGTTCGAACAACAATAAATGATTATCATTATGGATGTAATATAATTGAAGTAAACATTACACTTCTCTGATATATGATTGAGGCTATGCAAAAAAATCATGATAATTCAGTATCCGAGCTAATTAGACACTTCTATGGTTACATATATATATATATTTTTTTTTTTGATAAATAAAGTCTAATTCAGTCACTATTCCCTTTTTTTGATAAAAATAATTCTATTCTGATAAATATTTGTTAGATTTGAAAACATCGTATCATGGCGACTAGTACTTATACGACAAACTCTCCATTACCATTACAATTAAAACATACTGAATGGATGACAAATTTACCAGAAAATCTTCATGATGAGCCTATTACTAAAATCGCTATACCCGGTAGAATGACTAACAAATCATAGAATTAATATTTATTTATATAATAGGTACACATGATTCATTCGCATTTCATTTAACCAGCCAAGCTGGACCTGATTTAGATTCAAATTTACGACGTCTATCTTTTCTTATTCATCCTATTATTAAAAGTTGGAGTATTACACAAAATAAAACTTTTACCGGTATTGAGGTTTTATCTAACAAAATTAATTTCTTTTCTTTTTGTTAAATTTCATTTAAATAGAACAATTATATATGGGTATTCGTTATTTTGATTTACGTGTTTGTCGTACAACAGATAAAAATTTATGTTCAAAATCACCATTTACATTTACACATGGTTTATTAGGTGGTTTAGTTCGTGAAAGTTTAGAAGAAATTAATGAATTTTTAAATACACATCCAAAAGAAATAATTTTACTTGATTTCAATCATTTTTATGATTTTAATGATCAATGTGGTCATGATCATTTAATACATCTTGTACATGAAATATATGGAAAGAAACTTTGTACAACAGCCCGACAAATAACTGAATGTACATTAGATTATTTATGGAAGAATAAACAACAAGTTATTTTACTTTATGAAGAAAATCCTAATCAATGTACAGCTTATATGGATCGTATTGGACATTTTTTTCAGGTAACAAAGAAAAAACAAAAGACAATTTGAATTTAGATTTTTCTACAACAACATTTTGATCTATTTCAAATAGATTTGTCAATCACCATGGCCAAATACATCACGTGTTAACGAACTATTTTTATTTCTTGATGGAACAGTAACAAAACCTCGACCCATAACTTGTGTTAATGTTATTCAAGGACAAATAACACCTGACAATTCAAGTATCCAAAAGAATCCATTTAGTTCACTTAGTACTATTGCGAAAGACACAAACAGAAGATTAATTGAATGGTTGTCGTATCGTAAACGTGATCCATCCTTAATCAATGGTGTTAATGTCGTCATTTGTGATTTTGCTGATCAAGTATTTACTGATGCTGTGATTATGTTGAATTATAAATCATCGACGGAAGATTGTACTTTTGCTGATCCTGTAATTAGGTTGAATTATAATACATCGACAGAAAAGAATGTTAGGTAACTATTCGATGTAAATGTTTTGTTTAGTAATTTTTACATTTATGTAAATCCAATAACTAACAATATTTTTCTAATAAACTTAAATATTCATATTAACCAGAGTTCAGCATGAACTCGAATGCATAAATTTTATTTTATCATCATGAATAGACAGAGCTTATAGCCTTCTGTGCAATCTCATTGCATAGAGTGAGATATGTTCTTGTTCATTAGCCTGACAATATAATCAGAATACTTTAACCCTTCATTCTCCACAGTAGTTCAAGAAGAACTATTGATAAAATAAGTTTATAAATAGAGTATTAATCTATCTAATACACTAATGATGTAGTTTGATTCATTGAGTGTCTATATCTTTATGTATGATCGTTTGATTGATTCAATGATCGCATGGTAGAGAAAGAAATTTAACGACGTATTATGCGTTGATTGCTTTTCTTTCATCGCGCTGTTGAGTGGATAAAAGTAACATCAATCCCATGTCATTCTAGTAATAGAAAAAAAGGAAGAAATGAACCGATAAAAATTAATGTTTTTTCGACATATCGTGTTAAATAAACATCTACTTTGCTTTAAGATATTTTATTACTTCTAAAGATATTGAATTCAAAATAAATACTATTTCAACTTCTCATGAGTAAAGGTTAACAATACATATATTAACTTTGTTCTTGATTGCCTAAGAATAGCTCCATTATTAATCGTATGCCTTAATGTGTGCCATTCAGCAAATTATTGTGAAGCTTTCGTAACATATCTAACTCACTCGTAGTTTTCTTCATCGATTTGCGTCACAGAGAAATTTTGAAAGATCTCTTTTGAGTATCGGTAGAAAACATTTCCTGTCAAAAAATGTAAAATTTTCGATTTCTTCAAAATTATTGACTTCGTGGGTAAGATATTTCAAAGATGAAACGATGAAAAAAAATAAATAAATATTCTTTTCAGTGGTTAGAAGCCCATGAAGTTTACTACAGAAAATATTTTTATTGTTTTTCAATTCTATGCTGCCTTTATTTTCTGCAATCGTTCTACAAGTGGTCACTCTAGTGATCAATTAGTTATAACGGCTTAAGTATGAACAAACTCACTTGTATTTAATTCATTCTTTTTTCTCGCTAAGAAATCTCCGATACCATCATTCAGTGTAGTAGAGCTTCTCGTAGATTCCTGAGAGATATTTAAAAACTAAAATAAGATCGGGAGCTTTAAAAAAGTTTATTCCATGAAATCTGAGCATTTTGTCGGATGTTTTTGTAAATAATCTCATCTAATATTTTGTTATCTAGATTCTATGAGTATATGGAAACCAATAAATGAAAAAGGATATTTTTATCCATGGTATACTATAGTCTCTATGTGTTAGATAAATGATCATTGCCTATTGTTGAATGTTCATCTCTCATTCGAAATTTCAATATACATAGTGTAAAAAGTTGAATGAATAAATTCATTAACAAGCGACATTTTTCTTATCAATGATTTCAGAGAAAATAATTGAATAATAAAACTTATTTGTTTCACACTTCACAAAATGGTTATATGACGGTATCATATAGTGAATTATTCATCCAGGGTCTTAAAAATCTTATGTTTTACACCCATATAAAATATAAGATATGCTCATTTAGTACACTTTTACTCCAGTATCATTATGTGATTTACAGCTTTGACTGCTTCAAAATTAGATTTCTTATTCGATCTTCCAAACAATATCTTCTCTTAGACTATTTTCTATGCATAGCATTACCCTATTAAAACATAAGAGTAAATAGGTCACAGTAAATGTCATATCTACCTATAAGCATGAATAAATAATATACTTATTCTTGTTATTACAATTGTATGGATGAAAAGATCATTCTGAATGTACTTTTTCTTTTGCTAATAATCAGCTGTGATATTTCTCGAGTTTTACATCCATCTGATTAAGTATCACAGTTTGGACCAGTAAAAAGTCTGTCTTTAAATACTCGTGAGATAATGTGTTGAAGTGATAACAATAAAAGAAGATATAAGAACGCTGACTGCGCATTAGCCTTTTGCTGATTGTGAGGTGCACGTAACGCAAAATTCGAGTGAGTTTTAGTTGTTTATTTATTTATATAGAATTTAATAAGGATGATCTAAAAGTAAGGGACACAGACTTTTTCCGATTTCTCCTTTGCGCTTGGTTAATTAGATCTCATATTTATAAGATCTATATTAGATGATACTAGTCAAACAAAAAAACTATATGCTCAATATTTGAGTACAATAATTTCTTGAAAAATGTACAAATAAATCTTACTGTACGTCTGTGCTTGTATGAGAAATCCTATGTTGTTCGATTTTCATAGTTTTAGTCTGTTTAGCTCGATATATCACAGACATTTGATTTTGTTATATTTGGAATCGATTTAACCACTGAATTTCTCAATGCAAACGCAAAAGGGCACTAAAATTTATTTGTACACTTTTGAACAAATAACGACATCCACAGACTGAGCATATGCTACATTTTTTATTAATACCATCTAGTATACGCAGTATAAATATGGGGCTCAACTGAAAGTGTGTGCTCCAATTTTTTTTATGCTATCTTATAGAGCTCGACTAGCTGGTTACAAATATACATCTATTGCTCCAATTCGATTACCTCTTCGTTGTAAAAAAAAATACTGATGAGACTACGGATATAACCAAAATTACTTTTCTGTCAAAACCACGCTCGAGTTTCTATAATCTTTTTTCTAAGCTCTTTGAAAATAGATTTTTTTCCTAATTCAGCATAAAAAATCGAGTAGAACAGCGTTTTTTTTCTCAGATTTAAAATAAATAAGGTAAAAAATTGTTATCAATATATGTAGACGTATATCATGGGCTTATAGACACATTTTCAAACCTATCTAGGTTTTTTTATAACGGAAAGTAAGACTAAACGTATTGTCTCTCTTGAATCAGCTGCTTTTGAGTTGCCAAAGTACTCATTCAGTTTTACTGTTGAAAAAATTTAACATTTTCTCGTTTTAATAGTATAAAATCCAAAAATAGCCTTGTTTATCGCAGTTTCTATTATCAAAACTCTGTTGAGAATAGATATGTGCCTTAAACTTTACTTTAAAAGGTGAAGTTAAAGTAGATATGTTGAAATTCTCTTGATAATAGTTATTGATTTCTTTCTTAACAGAATCGATGTATTCTAAAGAAATCATTTACTGGGGTTTTTCCCATATGACATGACCCGAACACTAATATGTTTTATCCCTACAATATGAGAGAGACACCTTGCTTGAATCTGATAGGTCCATAGAGAAAAGCTCTCGACAAATCATTTTTCAGTTGGATATTTCTCTGTTACTGTGATGGCAAAGCATATACTTTACTAGATCAGTCTGGGAGGTTGTCTGGAATCCTCTTTCATATAGATCGAGCAGGACTATGTTTTACCCTCACAGTAGCGAAGAAAAAGCCTTCAGAAACCTGATTGGTCGATAAATTTTTCTATGTGAACCAATCAAAGTCAAAGGCGTCGCTTCTCCTGTATTGCAGTGCAATGATAAAACATATTATTACTTGATTTATATGAGTAGGTTTTTTAATATTAAGTACCCCAGACAAAATCAAACCATTCGACGTACTTACAATTTTGAAAAAGCACGATGTTTTTTGTGGGGAAAACCTAGAAAAAGATGCAAACACTACAGGTAAACCATGAAATTGATATCTTGCATCAAATGCCTATGAAATACACTGCACATGAGAGAGGATCCTAAGAAATGAGTTTTTTATTTACGCAAATTCTGTTAAGAAAGAAATCGACAATGGTTATTGAGAGCATTTGAATATAGCTTAGTTTAAATTTGAAAATGTGAAGTGATATATCTAGTTGAGAAACAAAATAAACAGCATATTACAAAATCAAAGTGTAACCCTAAACTGGACTACATACATTTTATCGAATTCTGTGTCAAATGAAAAACTGAGTACAGGCAATACTTTCGAAGAAAAATGCTGAGGCGAAGTACAAGTGTATTTTTCGTGGAACAGTGATTGTGTTAAAATATATATGGTTCACTGTAGATTTGCACGTTGATTCTGACTATGCTGTTAATTATTTTTTCAAATGACAAGCAAAGATTTACAAGTGATAAATTGCTTTCGAGTTAGGATTATATCCAATCGAGAGCATCCAGTGAATAGGTAAATATTTCCGAGTGGTTCGAGCTACTCACCTTTTGTTTCTGAGATTCCAAATTTTGAGTGGATTTTTTCAGTCGGATCCCATTTTTTAAGCGAAATCATACTTTTGAATGTTGATCTGAAACTTTGCTTACATAAAGGCATTGATTAGACTAGCTTGTAAAAAAAATTCAGTATTATTTCACTAAGTCTCTCTAAAATATGAGTTTTTCAAAATATGCATGTGTTTTACAATAATCATGGTACAATGCTTCTATTTTAAAAAATTCATATCTTGCAAAGACTTAATACAGAGTTTTGAAACTTTTTCTATAAGGTGGTCTAGTCAATGCTTTTATATGAGCAAACGTTTAGGTCAAAGTTCAAAATTACAATTTCGCTTAAAAACTAGGGTTCTAAAGAAAAATCCACAACAAAATTGATATCTTAGTAACAAATACATAGTAGCTCGAATCACCCTCGTATATTTACTTACTTAATAGACCCTATAAGTTTTGGTTCTTTTACTAGACAAAATGAGGAAGTATTCTATTTTCTCACCAATAAAACAAAATCTGAAAAAAGCCTAAATAGATACTGTTGTAGCTCGAAGTCAGTAGGTTCAAATGAAACAAGACATTTAGTTTTGTCTTCTGTATCAAAAAAAAACAATATACTCAGCATACTACGTCGCGTTTCGCTATAGTAAACGAGAAAAAAATCAGGAAATCAGGACATGGTGTTGACTGTAGCGATCTCCGCTGCAATATATGTACAGGTTTACAAAGGTGTCTATAAACATACTTTATAAATCAAAATATATTGATAGCAATTTTTGTAAGTTATTTTGTTATTTTGTTATTTTGTTTTTTTTTTGTATTTTAAGAATATAACATTTTTCTACTCAGTTTTTGATGCTCAATCAGAAAAAAACTCTTTTCAAACAGTTTAGAAAGAATATAATAAAAACTCAAGAGTAATGTGGAGAGAAAAGTGATTTTGTGTATATATGCAATTTAATCGATAATTTTAAAGTTTTTTACGATGATGGGGTAATAGATTTGAAATAAAAGGTATATATTCGTAATCAGCTCTTCAACGGATATCAAACTATATTTAACTCAATGGCAAAGTCGTATCCACTCGAGTTTTGCTTTATGTGCACACGATATAAATACAGTTTGTAAAAAAAAAGTGCGATTTATTTCTGTTTTTTTAGAGTTTACCAAATGGGTTTATTGATAATCTTTTTAATTTTAATTTTCAATATTCGTATTATTCGAACTAAACCCCCACTATTAACAAGCTATGATGCTCAAGTAAATGATTTATTAAGTAAAATGACTGATGAAGAAAAAGTTGGTCAAATGACACAAATCACTATAAATTTGATATTAAAAGATCCAAGTAAACCACCACAGGAAATTGAAGTTGATCCTGTTAAATTAGCTACAGCTATACAAGACTATAAAGTTGGTTCTATTTTAAATGTAGCTGAAACAGGTGCTTATAGTCTTACTCAATGGCATACTATCATAGAAAAAATACAAGATGAAGCAAATAAATCTCGTTTAAAGATTCCAGTTTTATATGGTATTGATTCTATTCATGGTGCTAATTATATTCAAAATGCTGTTTTATTTCCACAAGCAACTGGTCTTGCTGCAACATTTAATACAACATTAGCACATGAACTTGGTCGAATAGTTGCACATCAAACACGAGCAGCCGGAATTCCATGGAGTTTTCACCCACAAGTTGATATTGGGTAAGGCTCGTTTCATATTTATTTATTTGTGCAATATGAATTTATATATATATTTTGTTTTTTAGCCGTCAAAAATTATGGCCACGATTATGGGAAACATTTGGTGAAGATGTAAAAGTTACTAAAGATATGGGTCGAGCATATACTGAAGGTATGCAAGGTGATGATTTAACATCACGTGAAAATGTAGCTGCTTGTCTTAAACATTATGTTGGTTACGGACAACCATTATCTGGTCGTGATCGAACACCAGCATGGATTGATGATCGACATATGCTTGAATATTTTTTACCACCATTTGAAGAAAGTGTTCGTGCTGGTGCTGTTTCAGTCATGATTAATTCCGGTGAAGTTAATGGTATTCCTGGTCATGCTAATTATCATTTATTAACTGAAATTCTTAAAGAAACATATCAATTTGATGGATTTACTGTTTCAGATTGGGTAAATCTTTATATGGACATATTGAATTAGTGTTTTAGAAAAAAAAGGAATAATTTATTTTTTCTAGGAAGATATTAAACGTCTTCATTTTCGTGATCATACAGCTGATACACCTAAAGAAGCTGTTCGTCAAGCAGTCATGGCTGGAGTTGATATGAGCATGGTACCATTTGATTATTCATTTTATAATTTAACACTTGAATGTGTCAAAGATGAATCAATATCACGATCACGTTTAGATGATGCTGTACGTCGTATTCTTCGTGTTAAATACGCATTAGGTACAACAATTCTATTCCTTTTTCGTGAAAGACCATCTAAGAGAAGTGTTGAAGTATAGGGGTAAAAATTCGAACCTTCTTTCACAAACTGTAACAGACATTAGTCGAAGACCGTATGTCAATAAGCTCTCGTTATAATAGATGAGCTAGTTTCTTATTGTATTTTTGAAGAATCGAATAGCGAAGAAGTGTGTTCCATAATATATAGAATAAAACAATCTCCTTATAATTAGCAACAGTAGTTAAATCATGTTTCACACTTAAATTCAACGGGGTTGCACTAACAGGTTTTCTTTTCGTAATGTTTGTTTTTTTTTCTTTATAGGTTTATTTACTGGAAAAAATGCGTGGCCTGATAGTTCAGCATTAGATACTTTCAATAAACCTGAATATGATGCAACTAATCTTCAAGCAGCACGTCAAGTAATAACTTTACTTAAAAATAATGCAAATATTTTGCCATTAGATAATACAAAAATAACTGAAACAAATAAATTGATAATTACTGGTCCTACATCAAATGTTCTTACATCACTTAATGGTGGTTGGTCATATACATGGCAAGGAAATGATCAATCAATTTATCCAAAAAATTTAACAAATAAAACAATTTTAGAATCATTTCGAAAACATTTAGGTTCAGCAAAAATTGATTATTATAATAGTTCATCATTTAATCAATTATATAATATTGATAATTTATTAAATGCTGCTCAATCTGCTAGTTATATATTAGTATGTCTTGGTGAACAAGCTTATACAGAAACACCAGGAAATATAAATGATTTAGTATTAGATAATGCTCAATTAGAATTAGTTGAACAAATTAAAAATCGTACACAAGCACCAATTATTACAGTTCTTGTACAAGGACGACCAAGACTTATTCGACGTATTGTGGATTTATCATCAGCTATTCTTATGATGTATTTACCCGGTATGGAAGGGTATGTATAGAATATACTTGTTTGAGTTTTATAATTATAATTGTTTCTTTTTGTTTTTTTTTTGAATAGTGGTCAAGCACTTGTTGATGTTTTATTTGGTGATTACAATCCAAGTGGACGATTACCAATAACTTATCCAAAATATAATCATCATTTATCAACATATGATTATAAATGGGGTGAAGTAGAGGTCGGTAATTATATTGATGTAGAATTTAAATTTGGACATGGTTTAAGTTATACAACATTTGATTATTCAAATCTGAATGTACCAACAACACTTGAATGGAATGGTGATTTAACTATTACATTAAATGTACGTAATAGTGGCTTAAGACAAGGTGATCATACAGTACTTTTATATGTTTCTGATATTTATCGATCAGTTACACCACCAAATAAAGAGTTAAAAGGTTATACAAAATTATCATTTGGAGTAGGTGAACAAAAACAAGTTCAATTTACTCTTAATCGTAATGATTTATCATTCATTGGTATTGATTTAACTCGTCAAACTGAACCCGGCCTTTTTACTGTAACTGTTGGTGATTTACAAGCTAATTTTACATTACTCGCCGGGCAGGGAGGTGTTAGCACAACACCAAGATCTAAATCAATCAATCAGCAATATTCAATTTTCATGATTAACATTCTTCTTTTTTTAGTTATCAAATTAATATAAAGAATACAGTGCTTTTTCTCTACTACATAATAGAACTCTAGATTATGTAGTGAACATACATCTGATTGGATAATTTTATAAATTTTTTTTTTTAAACATCAATAAATCTTTCATATTATTAATAATAAATGTTTGTCGTACGAAGGAATAATGAAATACATTTCATTACATTTGTAGTGATATTTGTTTTTTGCGATTATATTACGCACAAAATATTGTCAATTTTACAAAAAAAAGCGTAATCTGCTGTTCAAATCTATCAATCTGATGTAATGAGAAAAGTCTTTGAGTCTATCCTAGACTACGAAATGTGAATCTAGACTAGGATTTTTGCTTTCTCAAATCTTAGGACTTCGTCTCCTATATTTATTGAACCAAATTTAGTAGTAGATAAAATGTAGACTGACTTTAGAACAATGCTTCATTCGTCAGATTTGAGCCTATCTAAGTCTTTATTTGTTCACTAAAAAGTGGACTCAAGTCTACCGAGACTTTGTGGCTCCGTCACCTATGCTCTTAAAATATTCAAGATCTAAGAATTTAAGTGATGGTGATAATGAGTACAAATATGTGGGTAAGGACGATATTTGCATCTAATTTTAATCAATTTATAATTCTTTTTTCATTGATAAAGATTCGAAAAATGCGTCCGGTAGAAAACAATTGATTACGCAGCATATACCGTCGAAGTTTTTGCACTTGTTAGAATTAATTTGTTTTCTTATTTTATTTCACGTACAAGTATTTTCGGAAGAAAAATGAGTTTAAATATACATGCACTCATCATTTCATAATATGATGTACGTAATGTTGCACTCATTCACCTATTATTATATAAGTAATCATACGTACTTAAGTAGTTTATAATAATCTATAAACAGCAGTATATTATTTTGAAAAATATATCAACAACAATTCAATTCAGTTACGCTTATTTTACTTTTACTAATCTTAAGTAATTATCAAGTGTGTTTATTACTGATTATCATAGACGATTCAATGCAACATATCTTACTTAGTGTTATGATGACGATAGCTATCGTCAACTCAATAGATAAGTCTTCACTTCCAAAAGTAACACAGGCAGCACTTGTACAAAAACTTCGCCAATCTCAATTAAGTAAATTAACAAAGTGATCAGTTACTACTGAATATGAATGATTAGTTGATCCATCAGTTGAATATTCACAACAGATGAATTTTACTGCTTAATATGGTTTGCAAACATGTTCGATATGTTTCAGATGTGATATCGTTGGTGGAGGTATACTAAATAATTATGAACCATATTGATATGTTTCTTATGTGTATCCAGACTTGACATATGTCACAACTTGTAATAAAAAAAGTTTCATGTAGTTCTGAAGAACTGTATGAAAATAAGAAAACATCACAAGTTTCGAAGCCGCAATAAGAGTTTGTGTTGAAAAGATATGGAATGAGCTTGACATCTGTATATAGTGTTAACTCAGATCAGAATCGATCATTTCTTTGTAATAGTCATTTTCTTTGCGTGTTTGAAAAATTATATTCTCAGAAATTGATTAGAGATATCAAAACTCTCGAAATAACTCATGAATCAAATATAAATCATATTATAGCAGACAACATTGTTACAGATTTTGACCTAATGTTTTAGGTCCATCCGGTCTTATTGTTGGCGTTGAACTTTCTCTAGCTGGGCATAATGTCACTATATTCGAAGTGAATAATCGTACAGGTGGTTCGAGTATGGACTCATCGTAATAATGAAACAGGTACTTATACATTAGAAATGAGTGCAATGTGACTGCCATTAGATGTACGCAGTCTACTCAACACCTATGTTCACGAATGGTTGCAGCTTGATCTGGAGTCGTTTATCAATTATGATCCTGATACATTGGTCTATATCAATGGTGTAATGACAACACGAAAAGATGTTAGTAATAATCCTAGTCAATTCATCATCGACAGCATTATTTTTGTATCCAGATCAACTTCCCTCTACTATTGATCCTCTTCTACTGATATATACTAATGAATGGGTAAACAACCACCTTTCCCTATTAATTAACTCAAATGATTCACATGTTTCATCGAAAATTTCTATTGGAACCAAATTAATCACGAGCAAAAATATTCTTGATCATTTACCAACATGCACGCGTCATGCGAATAAAACGTTTTTATATATACATAAGTCATTGGATGGTCGTCCTTCACCGTTTACTGTAGTATGGGTCGACATGTTAACACAGCTTGTTCTAGAAACTTCGGGTAATTTCAACTATACTGATTTATTTTCAAATATGACTGCTACTGAATTGATATGCTAGATTTTAATTATTACAATACGAATACTAATGCTACTGAAAGATTTGAACGACATTTTGTTTACATTGTATTCTCGCTGGTTAATTTTGTTTTCTCATTGTATGGTTCAATGTAGTTTTCAGTGAAGTGTTATTGTATAATAGAGCAACGCAAATAGATTTCTGTATTAAAGCCAAAAGAATATCCTAGGATAGTGTAACCATTTTACTATAATAAATGAAGACTAAGAATGTTTATCAGTATAAGCAGAACATTGAAACAAATAGCTGATTTATTTCGTCATCAACTTTATGTCAAAGTACACTCATTTATATTTGATAATGATGCTGTAACGATGTTGAGCACATGTTTCAGAGTGATTTTACATGACACACTCGTTCTTGAATACGGTTTTCGCAGTACCCGTTCTCGAGAAAGTTCGTACTTGATCAGCTTCGTTTTGTTGTATTAAGTTACGAACGAATATAGAACGTGTTTGTTATAATAAGATTTGCTTATTACAACAAGCCTGAATCAATTCTCGAAGTACTGATGTTGTTCTAATTGTTAATCTCGCTAGTGTTTGTAGCAACAGGCAATAGAAATTGAATAAAAGTTATCCATCTATAACAATCACTATTAATGTAAGTTAAACATAAGGTTTGTATAGTTGAGTAACCTTGTATACGGATACATAAAATGAATTATAGTTCTTTAAACTATAACCAAAACTTATTGATATTAAACTAATTTGTTTTCTTCATCTCTTTTTTTGGCAATCTGTTTTGATGAATGACTTAACTATACTTTATATGTTATGAAGTACGCCATGTGAATCGATAACTAATACATTTTGTAATAGATTAACAAGATAATTTACAATTAAAAAACAAAAATAAAGTATATGTCGCAGGAGAAATTAAAATTCTAATTTTTCCTATAGGAGAATTTTAAATATTCCTGAACATAAAATAAACTTCTTATTTTAATTTTTTCTATGGGAAAAATTAGAATATTTTTTACGTCCAGTAGAATCGATAGAGAATCAGAAGCAAATAAAAATGTACACTTAAACGCCTAGTATATCGTTTGAGTAGATAGTCAAATCTCACGCTCTTATGTCCCTGGAACAGTATTATAAATTACTTGATAATCATACTGAAGGTTTAAATGACAAGTGTCAAGATAAGTTTTCTATAAAACAATCACTATATGATGATATAATTTTGTTTCTCCGTGATGGTTAGGGAGACTCTTAGCTTAAATTCTGGGTGAACAGGTATAATCTCCTCACAGTTTCAACCACTAGATCTATTAAATTTTTATCTAACTGTAACGTTCGTGACTTACATGATGTCGATTCAACAGCTTTACTAGCAATGACGTTCATTCAAGCCTGTAAAGCTTATGTGAGTGCAGGATTAATTACTCTCACTGAAGCATGTAATTGTAATGGCACTTTTCAACAAAGAAATGTCGTTCTCGAGCAGCAAAAATACAATGTGGTACTAAATGTGATTTATCAAAAAACGAAACCACGTTGAAATGTCTCCTTTAATCTTTGTATTTTTGAAATATAAAAGTAATAAATTTGATATTATATATTCAGAAATATTTAAAATTCTCCTATAGGAAAAATTAAAATTTTAATTTCTCCTAGGAGAAACTAAAATTTTAAGTTTTCCTAGAAAATATCCAGTTGAGATTGAAATTTTAGTTTCTCCTAGGAGAAATTAAAATTTTAATTTTTCCTAGGAAAATTTTAAATTTTCCTGAATTTTAATTTCTCCTGCGACATATACATTAATAGAACATTGGAAATATTAATAGAATCACGCTATCACATTCTTTAAGCAAATTTATTTTGTTTCATTTTCAGTGAATCGACGAATTTGCTTTGTTAAACAGAAACTGACGATATTATTGGTATGGAAAGTTCATTTTCATTCAATAAAATAACCAACTCTATTTTCATATCATAAACACTATTGTCATCGAACTTCTACAATTCCTTTTTATTTACTATATTTTCATTTCGTACACTTTTTTTAAAATAAAGTTTCTTTTTTTGAAAACACATTGAATACTTTTCACTTATGTTCATGGTCATTGTCATCATAGTCAATTAGAATTTGTCGGTCTTGCTTCGACTATCAATTGTCTCCATCTAATATCTTTTAAATGATATTCAAGTAGCGAGTTATCATGCGTATCTGACCAATTTTCTGAAAAGGGAACTGGTGCTTCTGTCTGTTTAGCTTGCTTAATACCACTTGTCTTCCATTGACATTTGTTAAAACCCAATTTTACAGGATCAACATACTTTGCACATATTGGACATTTGGCATTAGATGAATCACTCTCCACCAGAACATCAAATTTTCTGAAACCTAGAGGAATAATCACTTCGTTATTGTAAGCTTTACAATCAGAATTCACACATTTGCCAAGAAGCGAAATCCCAGGTTCTATACGTCGCCAAGAATTATCGCCAGGAAGTTTTAGAAGCTTGTGTGGAGGTTCAGTTTCATCAAGTCGTATGATACATAATCCATCTTCAGCATTGTAACAAGTACGTACTCGTAAATATCGTCCTGGTAACAATAAAATTTCCCTCTCAGTAGGAAAATAAGTATGATTTTTAATGCATCGACCATTGAGACATCTAATATGAAACATTGTTCGAGGGCCCACCCTACCACAAAATTGATCGGATTCCAGAACATTCAAAGAATCTGAACATGAACTAAATCCCCACCAAATCTGATCAGTGTCGAGTGGATACTGATTCCTCAAATCTTTTTTAATACCACGATAAATAACATCATTGATTGAAGGAAGTTTTATAAGTGCGCCAATAAATAATCTCAAATAAGGAAACCATGGTCTTAATAACTCACGATCTTCCATACGTAGTGTTTTATTTAGAATAAAATAGAGACTTTCGTTAACAGGAAACCATTCAAAAGTGTAAAGCATAATCGAACCAGATTCATCTGGTGATAAACCATCAGCGGGTTTTTTACATCGTTCTTTCACTACCCATAACCTCGCTAATAGACTATCTTGATCAAATAGATGAATAACTGGTTCAATTGCTGCGTCTAATGATACTAAAGATATATCTTGATATCCTTCAATAGGTAACATAACGTGAAGAGGTTCATTTTGAAGATCATTTATTCTTGGGAACATTTTACTAATAAAATAAAATGATACTTTAGAGAGTTCACAATGATGTTAAAATGAATACGTTACCTCAAATATTGAATGACGACAATGAAAGAAACACGTTCTAGGTAGAAAAGAAAGAAAGAAAGATTTCAGTTGTAAACTGGTAAAAAAAAAACTATAAAACAACAAAATTCCTTGCCATGCATGTGGTTATCAGAGAAAAGAAAAAGACATTCAAATGACATTGACAAACTGGAAAAAAATGCTTTTAAATGTTCGCTATTCCCATCGTAGTTTCCTATTATTGTATAGTTCGATGACATAACTATTCGTCTGCACTCTTGACAACACAAGTTAGAAGTAGAATACAATGTCTATAATATCGTATAGCAAAAATGTATTTTTTTTATCTCATTTAGATCTATACAAGCCAATAACTATTGATTACTGTCTACAGCAGCTTTTTGATGTGTAACAACTCATTCAAAACATAAAAAAGGAAAAGGATGATTCATATTTAAAAAAAAATATTTTGGACGACTTACTCAACCTTGTCATATAATGACATCTATCAAAATATTAAATCAAGGTAGCTTTATGAGTATGTCTTCACTGTTTGTGAATATTGTCTGCATCACACGTCTATCAAGATTGAGTCGCTGCGTTGTTCGACATATATCTATAAGGTACTGTGTATAAAACTCAGTAACAGTAGCCTTCAAAGAACCTTAGACAAGTCACTAACCGCTATTTGTGTCGGATTATCTATCCGATAGCATGCTGATTACGTTGTGACATACACTTACTCTTGCGGTTAGTTAGTGATGCATGGGTAGCTGAAGAAATATGTGCTAGGTTGGTCTTTTGTTCAGAGCTACAACTGACGTTAGTTGTGGAGAAGATATTGGCCTATTGAATGCCCGCTAGGCAGTACCACATACTACAAGGTAGTTAGAGCGACGGGTATTCTTCTTTTTATTTTTTATATTTAATCTTGATTACAATCAACAAAAGAAAACAATGACATAAGGAGAAGAAGTTTGTTTCGTATAAATCACAACTTTACCATTATTCTAATAACTACTAGGTTTCTTTTACACTTTTACCATCATCAGTTAACGAGCCATATTCATCTTCTTCATTAATTTTACCTTTCGTTGAAATGCAATCTTCGTCATCACCTTCGTGTTTTTCATAAGTTCTTTTTTTGTTGCGTCATATGTAGAGAGCTGCCCATTGGCCAAGGTTGTGTATGAACATGATCGTGGCTAGGATACTAAGGTCACGCAAGTCTCTAATACGATAATTACTATAGTTGAGCGTTTAATTCATCTCCAGAATATCTGATTTCTGCAAATATCGAATAGACTTATTTACCTACTCTTCTTTTTGATAATTCGAATAGACCTAAAATACTCAACTATCTATTCATTTTTTGTCGAGAATGAAGTCAAAAGTCAATAAACAGTACTATGTTTCGATTCTTTATTCTTCGATTGAATTCTAATGAGAATTTGAAACCTTTTTTATGTCACATCTGAAATGCTTTAAATTCGCCTCAATAAACATGCATCATTATGCAGATAAATCACTGGTGAAATGACAACTGGCAGTAATTCTCGCGTGATAGATGCAATTCTTTTCTAACAAATCGACTACAAGTTAAAGTTGTGCTTTGTCGACAGATTGAATCAGTTCGTACTAAGAGATGAAGAAAACGAAATGAAAATGTTTCTGTGCTTCATTTAGTTTCATTGTTCTAACATTAAGGGTGTGGATGTGGGGTGTGGATGTGGGTAAGGGTGGGCCAAAGTATTCCATTCAACCATACCCACCCACCCTCACACCCACACCCTTCTTTCTTTTCTGTGGTAATTGCACAACTATTTTTGTCGACTTTTAATAGCTATTGTTTTCAAAAAATGGGTAGATAAAAGAAGCAATATGTTTGTAACTTTTAATTTTTCAAACAGCTACTTTACGCATCCCACAAAAAAGAAAATAGCTTACATAAGTCGGTTGATTTTCTTCATTGTTCAAGAGACTTTATAAGAAATTATGACCTTTTACAGAACTTCTATGTCTACCTAACTCTCAGAGATTTGAGAGTATGACTCATATACTAATGAGGGAACCTGTTCAGCTACTTCCTTCAGACTTCAATGATTTTTTGCCTATAGCTACTAGATAGTGTTGTAAGAAAAATCATAAAAGGATTTTGCTTTCTAATGATCTTTGGCTATGCTATTGATTTTCAATACGTATATTTTCCAGGACTCAGGCTTTCGGAAAATTCTTATTTTCAAATTCTGATTTAATACTTTGCACAGATAGAAAATTCAACTAGACTAGCTCCCATAAAAAGATTCAGAAGTTTTGAACGAAGTCTTTCGCGATATGAGATTTTCAAGATATAAACCTTTTTCTATGTATTGTCTATACAACATACATTTTTGAAAGATTCAGATCTTGAAAAGTTTCGTTCAAAACTTCATAATGTTTTTATGGAAGCTAGTCTAGCTGGGTTCTCTGTATGCACAAAATTTTAAATCAGAATTCGAAAACATGAGTTTTCAAAAACCTAGTGCCCAGAAAATAGGCATTACAAATTAAATTGATTGATCAAATATCAATAGATATTTAAGTATTTTTAGAGTTTTTATTAGAATACTATGAAGTATCCTATAGGTAAAAACTCATTGAAAACGGAAGAGAATGGTTGAAAAGGTCCCTTTGTAAACAAGAGAACGAACTTCTATTCACATGCAACTAATCTGAATGAAGATTGAACCCTTCTCGCGGTCATAACTCTTCGAACATGGAAATTTGAACGATTCTTCATATTAAACTCATGTATGATATTATTATAGATAGTAATTTTTTCAGCCATTATAGATAAGCGCAATAAACATGTTCACATCGCTCACACATTACAAAATTAATCGTATATCTAAAAAATCAAATCTATTCTTAAAAAATTCACTGAATGCTCGTTTTTTTGGTGGTATTATAATCAGTTCTCGTGCTGCTCGTGAATTTTTTGCTCAACTTTCAAGGAGTACCAAAAGATAATAATGCTGTTTGGGACATAATTAGTTCTTCGAGTTGTCTTTTAAATTGGTTAAAGAGAAGATCTAAAGTTATCAATACGATCGATCTAATCATGCCTACATCGAATGGTAATGATCAATTAGACTTATGTGTATATTGTATATTCGTTGATGGATCTAAATATGATTTTATCATTCTACGATCATCAACATTTTATACAACGTCTATATGAGATAATGCAGTAAATTGGATGATAAATGACCAGTATTGCAAGTTATAGGAAGAAAATTTTGATTCAATTTATAATGCCTCAGCTAAGCTGTTGCTCATACTAAAAATATATATGCTCTTCTATTCACATCAATGGGAGAAGACAGCCAAAGATTATTGTGAGCTTCTGGTAGTTACTTCGCTACTGACTGATGATGATATGGTATTGTGCGATTTATTTGTGCAATATAACGAAAAAAATCTATGGAAAACGTCCACCCCATACAAATGAGTTTGTAATTAATCTGACGAACAACCGACAAAGTATTACTATTAGTCGAAACAAGTTTTTTTCAACATAAAAAAAACAAACAAATCTCATCTATATATCAAGTAGCTATGTTATTATCTTTTAATGATGACATTTATATTGGATTGGAACATAATTGTACTCAAGACCCATCATGGCTAGCAGATTATGTAATTGAAAATTTAATTGTTATTCAACAAGAAAAATGTAAACAAAAATTTCAATTATTGTGCCTATGCATTAAATTTGAAATTGAAAATGATCGTTTATTTCCAGACCTACCCGAAATTCCAACTAGACGAATTCTTCATTTCATCAATGATACGATTGATTTACATTCGATGCAATCTGTCTGTAAATGATGGTATGCAATTTTACGTCATGAGATCTTTTGGCAAGATTTATATATTTCTCGTTATGGAAAATATTCAAGTCAAGCTACTCATATTCAAAGCTGGAAAATGTTATATCTTTTGAGAGAGACTCGAAGTAAAAGTTGCAAATGATAAATACAAAGTCGATGAATTGATTGATGCTACAATAAAATTAAGACAATATACAGCAAATGATATTTTACAATTATGGGAAGATTTCACACATCAAAATCAATCGGTTGGCCCAATTCTCATATCTAAAATTAATTATATTCGATCAAATTCATTTTATTATGAAATAGACAAAATCTCAGACCATTATTCTGTTCGTTTGATAATAATTGGATTAGAACATGCACGTTCTCGATCAAAAGTACATTTAAACTTACGTGTAGGAGAATATGGTAATTCTTGTTTCACTGATCATATGGAAGAATTGTCTATTCGATATGAATCGGATACTGATGAACAGCGTTCAGTGACATTCCTAGGTCCAGAATTATTTGAATTTCATATAGACAAATGGGGTTATATATGTAAAGGATCGACATATCTTGATCGAGGTTCAAGTACTTCTTATCAATATTCACCAGGTCTTCTCATTTGCTTATTCATTATGATGGTCCATCCTGATTATCGAGCACAATTTATCAAATATTTAAAAAGTCTTGAAATTCGTTTATTGAAACCATTCTTGCTTAGCAAACATTAAGAACATCTCAAAGAAAAATCAATCTTCAGCAACACTTCTTTTTTGTGCTATTATTAAATTTTTACCTAAAAATAAATTCATTAGTTTTTTAAAAAATAGATAAATGGATGAAAAACTTTGAACTTTCTAGCCTTAGTTCGATGAAAAAAAAAATTAAAATAGAAAGTTACAAAGTAGACTTGATATCAAATATTTCTCAATCGAGTTGTCAAAAATATAAATAATTAATAATCAATTCGACCGAATTCAAATCTGAAATGTTCACATGTCTGTTCTTTTCTGGAAGTGGTAATATAAACATTGATATATGGAACTGTATAAGATCTTCAGTGAAGAGCATGTACACTTTTTTGTGTCTTCTTCAATGACAGGGCATCGCTTGGAGCACGATCACAACTATGAAAGCATACTACAAAATAATTCATAAAGTTCAAAGAAACACAAATACGGGTAGCAATATTTTTGATCACCAAAAAAAGATACTTTTGATCACCAAATTTTTTAGAATACATCTCATATTTTGGATGACCAATTGCGAGCGACGAACGAATTTGAGGTTCTGTTAAACCAGCACGAACATATTTTGAAACAGATTGTCGAAGTGGAGTTGGTAAACGAGATGTTTGGTTACGGTCACTATGATTGTGAGTATTTTTGAACATTACCGTAATTGAGTTAGGATCATCATCAGATACAACTGCTTTGAGTTCATAATTACATGATAAATATTTACGATATTGACTACATTTAAATGAGTATTTTGAATGATCTTTAAGATTATTTGTTCGATATTGACACACATTATGTGATTTAGCTACAGCTTTAACATCATCAATTGAATTAACTACACAGAGCAGAATCCAATTTGATTTTGACATTTTTACTAACGAAAAACTTTGAAGTATTTATATATACGAGAAGCAGCAACAGAAAAGGTATGACGAAATGTGAGTGATATTATGAAAAAATAGATAATGAAATGTAAGCAAATTACGAACGAAAAATAAATAATGAAATGTAAGTGAATGACGAACAAACAAGTGATGAAAAATCACACCTCTCTATAAAATTTGGTGATCAAAAATATTTTTTTTTGGTGATCATTTGTATCTAAAAATGTTTGGTGATCAAAGGTATCTTTTTTTGGTGATCAAAAATACAATTATTCTTATAAGAATTATTACAACGAAAAGAAATCTTTATTCACACGAAACAGTGATATAATGTCAATCGCGACAAGATCCAAAAAGAACAACTAGATCATAGTTTTAATGAACTATGTATTATGCTAAACTACAAACATACACCAGCAGGACATTAGAGTTCAGCAGTTCTAATTTGGTTCACACAATATCACGTGGAATCAAAACCGTTGAATCATCAGATAGATACGAAAATTTTAAATCTAGTTTGAGATATTCTCATTAGTGAGTCGTTGAGATTCAAGACACTACATAGTTCAATATTTAAAGACTATTATCCATACATACTCAAATCTTTAATCTCAAGAATAAAAAGCTGAAGATTTCTCCGCATGCATTTAAGAATCTATGTATCTATCTGATAATTTAACAGTTCCAGTTCGATTCTTACTTACAATTTTTGTGAATCGTCGAATTCTACCTGATGTTATTTATGTGAGTTTCATTTTGGCTATCACTTCTGGTTAGAAATCTATGCCATACACATGATTTTACAGTATATGAAATAGGCAATGTGTTGCGAATTCAAATAATGATGAAATACGAAAGATATGATAGAGGTAGGTATACTCTGGTATACAAAGATTAAGATTGGTCAGAATGCAAACAAATATTATTAAAGATGACGTTAGAGTTGCTAAAGACCAACAAACATAAAAAGATAAATGAAAACAAAATGGCATATAAGTCATCGGACTCGATATTTTTCACTACAAGAAGATCTTATTAGAATTCCATAAAGCTGAAATGACGAATGAAAATTTTAATCATTTTGTTCATTTCATTTCTTTACTCATAAAGTTGTTTATGTCTTTAGATTTTTCCTGAGTAAAAAGAGATCTTTAATGGATGTTATTTATTTCATTATTATCATTTTTATATTCGGAATTATCATAAAAAAGTTATTATCTTCAACAATTAATCCATATCGGTTTCCAAAAATCCTTAATTGGGCTCAACAAGGAAAATATTTCAATTTCAATGGTTATCCAATATTTTATTATGATTCAAATATTCGTGATGCATCAGCTATATCAAAACCAACCTTATTACTATTACACGGATATCCAACTTCATCAATTGATTGGTTATGTATGCGAGATGAATTAGAACAACGATTTCGTATGATTGCTCCAGATTATATTGGTTATGGTCTTTCAGCTAAACCGGTATCATTTCCATATACGATATGTTCACAAGTAAATATGATTGAACAATTGATGAGTTCATTAAAATTGAATCAATTTCATATCATGGCTCATGATGTTGGAGATACAATTGCTCAAGAATTTTTAGCTAGACAGATTGATAATAGAGAATATATAATTCAATCAACAGTACTTCTTAATGGTGGCTTATTTCCAGAAGCTCATCGTCCATTTTTCATGATGAAAATGTTAAAAAAACCAATTATTGGAGTAATCCTTCAATATGTAGTTCCTCGATCATTATTTAGTTCAGCCATTAATCGAGTTTTTGGTCCATCAACGAAACGAACTAAACAAGAATTAGATGAAATAACTGATTTATTATTTTACAATGCTCCATATAATCTTATACAACAATTACAATGTTATCTTGATGAACGAATTACATATAGAGATCGATGGGTTGATGCACTAAATAAAGTACAAACATTGGAGAAAAATCCTATTCCTATTAGAATGATAAATGGACCATTTGATCCAATTAGTGGAAAACACATGGTCGATAGATATCGTGAAATAATTACAAATCCTGATACTTATTTATTAGATGTTAACATAGGTCATTATCCAAACTTAGAAGATCCCGAAAATACATTGAAATATTTTTTTGATTTTCATGATTCAATTTCGAGTTGAATTTATCATTAAAATAAATCAAAAAAGAAAAGACGTAAAGCAAAATATTTTTTACAAGAGACAGAGATATTTATTTATTTATTTGAACAAAATATACAAAAATCAGTCACTAAATCGACTTCGTTTTGTTGTTGATGTTGAATCAGTTTTACTTGTTTGTCCTGTACGTTTTTGTGTTACTGAACTGGGTACAGCTACTGAATGACTTTTAAGACCAGTATCTGTTGCTGCGACCTACATAGAAAAGAAAGCTATGAAATAAAAAAGATCTTGTCGATCGAAATTAATACAAAGCTCGATTTGAATTGAGATTGAAATGCTGCTTTCATAGCTGATGTTCGATTAGTACCAGATGGTGCAGTGGAACCTCCACGCCAATCTGTCATTGGACCTACTGTAGTTGTCTGAAAAACATAAAATCAAAATATATATCAAGTTAATGATAAAATACGAACATAGCTTTCATTTCATTGTGCTTAAAAAGGAAAAAAATTACCTAAGAATACAGAGGAACTATTTATTAATCAGTTTTTCTTAGAAATGCATATTCTTAACTGGAACTTTTAATTCTCTCCTAATCAATCGTGAACACTTTTTCGTCATCGTTATTTCTCGTTTTGATATATTCGTAAAGAAATTTCAGATCAATGGAAACAAATATGTTTTTACCGCACACACAAAAGTGTTCACATTGATAGTTTTAAAAACAATATTCTTTCTACTTGTTGTGACGTTTTGTTTACTGTTCATTTTCAATCTTGTTTATATATATTTTTTGATATGACGCATTTTTATTGGTCCTGGATGTAGATAAAGATGTTTTATAATATCATCTCAATCGTCTTTCGTAATATTTGGTTTTAACATACTGAATTCTACAACTGTCTCTCAGGCGTTTGGTGAAAGACTATTCCGTAGGTTCACGTTCATTAGATCCAATTGGTAAAGTCACTAAAATTTGACGTAATTTAAACCAGTCAGGTATCATATATTGACTTGAATTTCAGCGTGGTCAAGCATTACGAAATTTCATGAAAAATAGAGATGGTCTTTCAACGTGTTATTATTTTGGTTCGTAGGCATCTAAAATTTCTATGAAAGTCATAGACTAGAAGAGTACTTCGTGTATGATGAAGAATATTTCTTCTGCTGGTCGATCAATATTTGACAATGTATTCCATGATCATATTTTACATAGATTTTGGAGTTGTCTACTCCAAGAAAGATTTTGCATGTCTAGAGCACTTAATGGTGCTCAAAAACAGAAACAATTCTATGGCAAATACTATCGATCGTTTTCTTTTTTTATGGTAGATTCATCTTTGTTCACTTTTTAGCTCGAACCCCTCCCATATGTGGATGACTGATGGTTTATTATGCTGAATTCGTACATAGTATTTTGTTTAAAGATTTGGAAGTAGTACTTTACTTTTACATAGTCAATCTATTCCATCGAAAGATTAAAAACGTTGTCTATCTAAAGCAGAAACTTTCCATGGAAAAAGGTAGAACACAAGAATAATCTGATGATGAGGAAATGATTCTATTTTTCTCTCTAAATCATTTAACCTGAGTATGATGGTTTACTTTTTTTGTCGATGGTCCATCATAATCAAAAGGATTCGATGAATCAACAATTATGTTGGATGTTGATGAAGATGGTCCACTATGTGAACCAAAACCAGGTCGTTCTCTTTGTGCACGATTTCCTAAAGAAAAATGTTTTCTATTACCGCCACCATATCGAGATCGACTATTAGCAAAATGACTATTCTAAATATTGAAACATATGTATACACATATAAATTCACGTGATCTTTAGATGCGCTTTGAACTTACTTGCATAGCCATATTCAGTAACTCTGATGGAACATTTTGATTAGCATTTTCTAAATTTCTAACAAGATTCGGTGCAAATTCTTTATCTGCTTGTGTTAATAATGTGTATGCTGTTCCTTTTTCACCAGCACGTCCTGTTCGACCAATTCGATGTGTATGTGTATCAATATCACGTGCAACATCATAATTAACTACCGTTCGTATTGATGGTATATCAAGACCACGTGCTAATAAAATTCAAAACAAACTATTAAATTTAAAACAATAACCAAAAAAGATGACAAACCAGCTACATCTGTAGCAACTAAAATTGGTATATCACGTTTTTTAAATTCATTGATAACTTGTGTACGATCATATTGTGCCATATCACCATGGATAAGGCCAGCTAAAGTCAAAATTATCATATTTAGAAGTTTTTTTCTTTTTTCATTTGAAATTATTTACCAGTAAAACCACTCTCTTTTAGATTTTTTGCTAATTCTGCACAATTATCTTTACGTGTTACAAATATTAGAACTTTTCCTACTGAACAAAAACAAATAATTAATTTGAAAGATAAAAATTGCAAAAAAAACTACTTACACACAGTAAATTCAACAAGTTTAGATAAAAGCCATGTCCATTTACTTGGACCATTTGAAAGAATATGAACTATTTGAAGAATATCTTGATTAGCCTATTAAAAAAAATATTAAACAAAAGTTATATTATCATTAAAACTGAACTTACTTCGCCAACTTCACCTTGAACAATTCGAACAGGATCAGTAAGAATATCTCGTGCTAAATTAACGAAAATAATAAGACGAAATAATTTTCTTTTGAAAAAAAACAATTAAACCTAATTTTTCGACTTTTTTTTTAAATGTTGCACTAAACAATAAACATTGTCGATCAGGACGTACATGATCAGCAATTGAACGAACTTGTGGTTCCTTTTATAATTTTATTCAATAAAAATTAGCATATTTAATAAAACAAAAGAAACTTACAAAACCCATATCAAACATTCGATCAGCTTCATCAAAAACTAAATACGTAACACGTTGTAAATTTGTACCTTTTTTCTTAACTAAATCAATAAGACGACCCTAATAAATATAGAAAATTAGAATTTTATTTAAAAAAAAATCTTTTTCTTTCTTACAGGTGTACAAACAAGTATTTCACATCCTTCTTTACAAGCCATTATTTGTTCGTGCATATTTCCACCACCAAATGCACATACGGAATTAATGTTATATGGTTTTCCATATTTTTTACATTCAAGATGAATCTGTTGAGCTAATTCACGTGTAGGAGCGCAGATTAGAACAATAGGCCCATCATCAGCTTGAAGCTGTTCCTATTCAAAGAGACAAATTAATTTTTATTAAAAAAAAAAAGTATAAAAACAAAACTACTTGAGCCATAATATGAACAAGAGCTGGCCAAATAAATGCACCAGTTTTTCCACTACCTGTTTTAGCTATACCAATAATATCACGTCCACTCAAAGCACTTGGAATAGCCTAAGTAAAAAATAAAATTACTAATAATATTTAAAATAAATTATTTCTACTTGTGCTTGAATCGGTGTTGGTGTTGCAAATTCAGATTTACGAAGTGTTTTCATTAAACGTTCATCAAAACCAAAATGAGCAAAACTAACGACTGGACGAGGAGTATTTATACCACGAACCTATAATAAATATATATATATACATATACTTAAATAAAAAACTTAATGATGGAAATTTTCCAATTAACGAATCGCTTAATTAAAAAATTGGTTTTTTAAGTTTCGATTCGAAACTTTGCATAGAGATAGGTCCAAAAGAGAATAATTCATTATGAAAGTGTCAGATATTTTGATTTCCTTCTATTTTGAAATAAGAACATCGAATCTACTGGTGTATATGAACGATTGAAAAAAAGAAGGTTTTCCCATAGTTGTTACAACGAAAAAAATGAAAAATTCACAATAAATTATCCTCCTTCGGGCTTTATTGTTTGCAGAATTTCAATTTAAAATTCATTTTTAGTATTCCTAAAGGAAATCACAACATAAGGATACTTGATTAGGAGGATGGTGAAACTCCGTCTCCCACAATGTCTAAATTTCTGTGCAAAGTCGTAATACTTTCTGCCAATTTTTTAGAGCTTCATGGTGACTTTGAAACACCATTAGCCTTTCTCGGGCAGAAAGTGAAATAAAAATAAGTAGACAATGTCGTTGTTACACGAATAGGTTTGAGAAGAACGGTTTGGTAGTAGAGACAGAAGCACGGTAAGTTGCGTTGTTCTCCTTCCGTCATCATTTCTAGTCCTTCAAAATTCTGCTGAATTTTTAGACTTTTTCACCCCTGAAAAACATAGAGTATCTCAGCAGCAATAAGTTAAGAGCCTCCACTCTTTTCAGCATATTTATAGTTCATTATGATATGCATGATGTACACAGCCTTGACTCAAAAATGATTCTTTCGTAAGTTTAAAATAAAATTCTTTACATTAACACCAAGTTTATTTCTTAATTCATTGACTTGTTGATTTGATAGATTACGAATGTCTTCATGTTCAACATAGAAATTCTTTTCAAATGGTGAATATTCAATTGTAGAATGATCAATAGATGGAAGAGGATCAATATGCTAAAAGAAGAAAATGATTAGTTTATTATTTATTTCTTTGTCTTCTATCATACTTTAGATATTTCAGGAGCAATTAAATTACCTAGGAAAATAAAAATAAAAAGAATGAAACTCAAATTAGACATAATACCATCATCATCATATTGTAATTCTCGATCTTCATCATCATCATCTGCTATCGGCAGACCAGCATTTGGATTTTCTTCAAGCCAACGAAAGTATGATTCTTGATCATCTTCTTTTTCAATATCATCACGTGTTCCTCTAAATTTTTTTAATTTAAATTTATCCGTATGTATTTTAATTTTATTTACTTTTCTTGTTTCTTTTCCTTTTTCTTTCCTATAGATTCTAAATCTTTTTTTGCTTGATTATTATTTGTTTTCATAAATTGTTCAAGCGGATCTTCTTCATCATCATCATCATTTTCTTCGTCTTTTGATTCTGCTTGATAACTAGGACTACCTGGTGCTGGTTGATAATCTAAATCATCATTAAGTTTTCTATTATTAGTTGTCTTTGTTTTATTGTATGATTCAACATCCAGATCATCAGAATCAAAATATCTATTTAGATAATAATAGTAATCATATATATAAATTAAATTAAATTTAAATCATACTCTTGTTCAGTACGATGTGCTTGTGTAACAACATCAGTTTTTCTAACATTAGCACGTAAATTACTTGGTAAACTAAATTAAAAAAAATTGATTAAGATTATACATAGGATAACGAAAAGTTTTACGGAAAAAGTTGTTGCAATTTTGGATCGACAGGCTTATTATTGGATGACATTATCTAAGAGTAAATTTTCGAAATTCAATTTGATATATTAATAGAGAAACACCAAAGAACTATTCGATTCGTCAAAGATTTAATCTAGTAGAAACGATTTATTCTTTTGTGATGTCGCTATATATGATAGAAATTAATTTAGAATATGAAAAAATTTTATTTGTAATAATTATTAATAGTCAAAAAAAATAGGTTAATTAATCAATTTTGAAAAACTAATTTCTTCAAATTGCATATAATTAACTTTATTTCGATTTTGATCGTATACAACAATATCCGCATAGTTTTTACAGCAATCATTTGATGATAATAATAAATGTAAATTAAAACGATTGATTTCATTAGTGAGAAATTTAATCGTTTCTTTATTGGATTGAAGAATATTTTTATTAGAAGTCCTCTATAAAGAACGTTCAATAGAACTCACAGAGGTGCAGAATCTTCCTCATGCGCCCCCGCGCGAGGGGGGAAATTTTTTGAAAAACTCAAATAATAGGGAAATTTTGGAAAAATCCGCTGGCCAAAAAAAAAATACAGTGGGGAAATTTTTCAAAAAACTTTTTTGCGTGGGGGGAAATTTTTGGATTTTTGGAAGATTCTGCACCTCTGAGAACTCATTGGGTACAAAATTTTCGACTCCAGTTAAGAAAAAGCGCCAGGCCTGAGCCGGATCGGGTCCTAGTTCGGGACCGACGCGACAGGCTCTCACGTTCAGTATTAAATAAATTTTCAGCAAAAACCTACTTGTTCACACATGCAGCTGCCTTTCTACCAAATAACAGTTCATTAAATAAATTACCTTTTCGGGCTGAGCTCGCATATATACAGTTTCGAAATTTAATTAAGCCAAGAAACTCTTAGACACACTAATATTAGGATTTTTACTACGAATTTTATTCGAATATACATATTACACAGATATTATGAAACATTTTAAGTATAATAGGCATATATTTAGCTCAGTATAGTTTAACAAAGTTCATTGTATTTTTATTTTATAATTGTATGTGCACATACTATTCGAAGACATAATTTATGCTATATGTATAAAGATTGTCATGAAAATCTTTGTATTGTTGATGATTTCGAGGAATTTCATGCTTTATTATATTTTTAGATTTTTTTATATTAACTTTTCTTCTCATATGTTATTGAATTGTTGTTTGCTATACTTCTTAGTTGTGTGTTTTCTTTTTGTTGTTCCAAAATTAAGTAAAAATTCAACGTTCTTTTCTATGCAAAAACGACTGATCCTCAAAGATTTAAATATACTTCATTTTTATTGAAAAAAAAAAAGAATTTTAATACAAATGGCATTTGAAAACCTAACAACGTTCATATAACTGGTGATGGGCATACTGTTGAATTACTTCAACAACGTATTTAAATTTAACTGGTTTATTCAGCTCATTTCCTATTTCAAAAAGCTCTTCAAACTTCCTTATCATAATAAGTAAGAACAACAGAATGAATAGCAACTCGAATATTCAATGGATTAATGTCTGTTATATTGAGATATACATTCCAATATCTTGATGAACATGAATCAATAGGACCTTGACACGTTTCATATAGTATTTTACCTGATGAAAATAGAGAATTACAGATAAGTTGTCGAATATTATTAAATGATGATATCATACTAGTGTGTAATGTATATGAATTTAATGCATTTAGTTTATGTAGATTTTTAACAATAATGGATATATCTGATGATGAACCAATGAATGATAAAGTATTCGAAGCTTGCAATTCAAAAAAAATTGCTTGTATTTCATTAGAATTCAATGTAAATTGATTTTTGTTGAATATAATATCAAAAATTGGTAGTGTTTATGTAATTTTAACAATGAGAGTTGAAGTATTTGGATTATGGTTAATGAGAGTAAAGTTTACTTTAGTTTTTTGTCCAAGTTGTATATATGATGAAGATTTACTATCAAAAATAACATTAAGTTCTAATGTTTGAGGTATAATTTTATGAAAATATAAACGTTCAATAAGTTCATTTTAATTATTTTTCCCTCTTATTTTAATGAAAAAAATCTACTGATGGAACCACAATTTTACTTGTGTAAATTAATTCATGCGATTTATTAGTTTATATTATTGTAAAAGATTATAGGATAAATCAATAAATTCTAATTCATAAAAAATAACTTCTTAAGAACTGTACTTAAGAATATGAATGAAGCAGTACAGTTGACTTCATTTGATCGGTTCTGTATAAATAGGATAAAAATCAGGATGAGTTAAATTAGTATTGAAAATATTGAATAAATGTTTGAAATGTATTGGAGTGTTTAATGTTATTTCAAAAGATTTAATTAAAAATGAATTTGCTCGAGATAGCCATGGTCCAATTTTTTCATGTTCATCATCGAAATTAAGGAGAAAATCTATTAAAGAATGATTAGGAGAAATAAATAAATTTTCAACATCAAACTTTGTAAACAGTTGGTATTCTGATGTAATATTAATCACAAAATTGAATACTTTCTACTGAACACTCGGTATGAAAACTATACAAATTCGAACTAGATGAAACTAGATTAATAATTAAAATTGGTATTGAATGAATATTTAAGAGATCACCATACAAGAGATTCAACATTTCCTAACGTCCAAGCACTTACTATGAATATTTTCTTTTCTTTTTTCACACAACTTTCGACAAAATTCTGAAGATTATTTTGTTTCGAAGAGCAATTTTCAATCTCAAATGAATCAGTTGAATATGAATATGGTGTTGAAATACTTGAAGATTATTTTACATGAGCAGATAATTATTTTGTGGAGCGGTTATATGAGACTTTCGAGTGCTATTTATATGAAACTTCATTTTTTTGTTTTTATTATTTTCTGCTCATTAAAATCGAATGTAACGAGTGAACTATGAAGAATGGATCTCTTATCATTTTGTATATTATTTCGATGATATTACAACGTGAAGAAGTAAGTTTTCTTTTTTTCAAAGATGTATCTTTTAATTTTCTATAATCTTCGATATTTCAATTGTCACTAATAAGTTATTCCGACGTGGTATGGTAGTTGTGATTTTATTCTAGTTTCTCGAAAAATCTACATATACTTAAGCCGGTGTTTATCATAACTGTGAAGTCGAATCATCTTTTGAAATCGTTCGAAGCTTTGATAATCCAAGACGAAACGATAATGGCAATTTTACATATATATAACGATTGCAATAGAATACAGTTTCGTGATCACTTGTTGGTTCAAACTAATTGAGAGATTAAAAAAAATACTTACTAAAAAGTTGAAGTGCGTAGAACGAAAATTGGCAAAAGGCTTTTTTTGTAAAAGTTTTTGATTTTACACATATTTATTTAGTCCTCAATTCCAAAGTGACAAACCCCGGTTGAATAAGTTGAAATATGTAAGTTTGTAGAGAATTATGAGACGCATTTTTAATAAAAAAAAACTTGCTTCTTCACATTTTAATACTATCGAAATATATGTAAAATAATGAGAGGACCGTCCTCTATGGATTACTCGTTGTTTTGAAAAACAAAACCATGGAATAGATTAGTTTTTTTTTTGTTGTTTATGAAATGTGTTCATTCATTTCTTTTTTTGATATTTCTATTTAATAAAAATGAAGCAGTGTATTTGAACAAGCAAGGTTTTTCTGAGTTTTCTTTCATAGTGAACTTTCAGAAACGGAACGGATGAAAATACATTTGTTACCTGAACATCACTTATGGATAGCATCTAATGTGTAACTAATAAGTTGTCTAATAGAATATAAATTATTATTTGGAATATTTATCTTCATACCTCTTGTTTCCAAAGCTATTTGTTCGATTACTTTTGTTTTTATTTCTATTTGTTGATGTGTACTTGCACGATTCGATATTAGGAAATGCATATTACAATCTTTACGTTTAGCAAGGATAGAAACTTCATTACTTCTTTCATTATCATTACCTAATTCATTTGTAAAAACATAAGCGAAACAATAATCATTTGATAACGATAAACTTGTAATAATAGCATTCATAGTAAGTTTAGTATTGCCCATTATATAGTTAAACTATCAAGAAAATTTAATAATCGATTGCAATGTTATTTTATTTGAAGTGATATTACTATTAATTTCTCGTATTGGTTTTTTAATGTTAACTATATTCTCATTCATACTATTTGACAGATCAATAATGAAAATCAATGATCGGTGACATTGTACTGATTCTAATAATCGACCAAAATATGATGTACTATTATGGTTTGTTTCCGTTAAATGCCATAATTTCTTTAGAAATAAATAAGTCAATTCAATAGCAGCATTTGCTGCTGTTTCTTGACGATAACGATGTGGTAAATAAATATTTGTCCTCACATCTTTATTAATTCCACCACGAGTTGATATATTATCAGTTGTATCAATAATTTCGCCATGTGAACATTTAAGAACATTTTTTGGTTTTACTACAGGTTCATCATCTTCCATTTCTCTCACATCATAACCACTAGTAAATATTTTTTTATGATTGATTAATGGAATAATATTATCAATATATTCATAAAAACATACATCACAAGGTTTTCCATAATTTAAATATGTTGACATATTTATTGTAGCAATATTTTCATTCAATGCATGAATTTCACCTAATGCTTTATAGGTTCCATTTTCACCCATTTCAATCGAATTAGAATGATTCTAAAAATTTTGATGCGTATGTAAATATTTATCCAATTGTTCATGTGCAGTGATATATTGTCCATTTCGAATTGCATTTAAGATTAATTCTTAAGATGTAATGAACAAATTATTTCCTCTAATAAATTGTTCAGCATCAAAATGATACAGAGAATGATTTTTGTTTCTGGATCATTATTAACATTACCATTGGACTTTTCTATTAAACCTACAGCGGCAACATGTCAAGTCCAGAGTTCAAATTTAAATTTTTCTAAAAATTGAGTTTCGATTTTTACATCTAAACATTCTTAAGGTATTCCTTGTATAACTTTTCTAGTAATACCATCATGACTATAACCAAGACCGAGTAATTCACTAATGAATACAATACTAAATGAATATGCAGAATGTACAAATAATAATAATAGTAACCATATTCTCATCATTTATTATCTGTCAAAAAAAAATTGATAAAGAATATTTCTTTTACTTTTTTATGTGATGATCAAAGTCATATGAATGAGTTTGTTTTTTGACAACGTTTTCTCTGCAGCATTCGACATCAGTGACTGTCATTAGAACGAAACAAAATAATTTATCCTGGTAATTTTTTTTTCTCATAAAAAGTCATTTGAAATCGTTTACTAAATGCAAACATGAAACTTTTAGAATATGTGTCATCTAATTATGTAATTCTACAAACTAGTGCGAATTTCATGTTTTCGGTCGGTTTCATTCGAAATTATGAATGCAATACAAACTCTCTCGATTTCGAGAAGATTTAACACCTTTATCAAATCATAAGTACGTCAAGTAAGTAATAAAAAATAAAGAAATATCGACCTGCTGAGAAATAGTGATAAAAGATTTCGACTGAATATGGCAAGATATTGGACTAAATTTTTCATAATTCTATCAACCCATTATATAGTCAACCTCAGTTTACATGCTCTGAAGACGCACTGCCTTATCCGAGCTCGAGGGCCGGACAGGGCGAAAAAAATGCCCTATGACAATTTGTTTGGTTTCATATTCATAAAGATGCATAAAAAGTTGCTACATCATTCAAAGCAAAATGCTTTTCCATAATAGAAAATCTATTTGAGATTTTCTCTGTAATCCAATAACTCCGTCTATCTTCCGTTGTACTAATCATTCTTCAAATGAATTGATTATATGAGCTAGAAAGTTTGTGATATACTTGTAGATACACGTCAATGATGATAATCGTTTATGTAACGATAAACAAAGAGTAAATTACTAATGCGAAGAACATGACAGAGATCATACCATAGAAACATAGATAAGATAAGTAAAAGTGGTACGATATTTATAGACGCCTGAAAAAAAAGAAAATTGACAAAAATACAAGTGGATTAACTCATATTTACATACGCAATATCATCTTAATTTGTGACTAATATGAGATCATTATCGATAATGTTTCGTAAATGTAAATGATGAACAAAGTTTTTAATTTATCTACTTCTTTTGATTAGAATTTATAGTTGATATACTGTCTTGCTTCAATCATTTCATATCTGAACAACATTATTACAAAATACGAAGAATCAAAGTATAACGAATGATCTACACTTACATTTAATACTATAACTAAAAACACATTGATTTTTGAATGTTCGCCATGCAATGAAAACAAGATTATCATTAGTTTTCGCTTAAATCAAATATTAAAAGCAAAGTTTCTTGTATGTATTGTTTTAAGTTTATTATTCGAAAATCTTTGATAACAAAATTGTCAAAAGTCGTGCTTTATAGTTTCTGTCTTTCTGTTCATATTGGAGGCAGACCTAAATGAGACCAAGAAACGACAAACGTAGCCAAATGAAATCGCATTTTCATCTGATTCTTGAGTTAAATTTTAGAGTTTTGTTACTCTACCTAAGCACTACTTATGTGACATCAATGATTGAGACAATGATGTTCGCACCATAACACTAATGGACTCTGTTGTATTGCTAATGCTTATCACACTTAATTTTCTCTAATGAATTGTAAAATACGACAGAGATATCGGAAACGAATACCTAAAGTCTAGCTTATGTAATTATGAGAATAACTAGAAATGCACGACTTTAAGGAATATTTCCTTCACTTTTTGCGACAATTTTAGTTTCATAGTCGTAAAACGAATAATCCTTCTAATTATATATGATGTGTCATGTATATACGTGCAAGAGTTTATTCTTAAACATCGTTAAAGATTTCAATGAAATACTTCTAGATTCTATGAACTGGTTGATCAACAGACAAGCAAGATTATTTTAGACCGAGTTAATATCGCTTCAAAAAAGCTGCATATAAAAAACTTTTTCCTTGAATACGCTCCTACATTAAAGAACGAGATGTTAAATGATTAAAAAGAAAATTGAAAAACCTTGATTTTCTCAATGATAAAATGTCATGGTCTTAAACCATTCACCGTGCTCTTGTTTCTTCAATTCAATTTTTGAGGCATTGCCAATAATTTTCTTGTAAGTAAATTAAGGCTTAGCGATCACAAGAACACAAAAAAAAATCATCAGTTGATGCGAGCTTCAACCAAAGCAATGCATCTTGGTAAACGAATCACACACAAGTTGATGAATTTCAACTAATAGTAGAAAAAAAAAGGACAAGTTTTGTTGAATGTATGTTACGAGCAATCAGGTACAAAACATATTTACCAATTTTACATCGATCAAAAGCGATACTGGAAGTTTGTTTCACAATGAAGGAATCGAGCATATATATTCCAATAATTTCATATTAATTTTTAAACTTTCTGATTCTTGTCTCATATCTAAGTTTACGAAACGTGTATAAT